TACAGCTCCCACAAAGTACTGTGACAGCATTTCTAAATTAAAATATTTCAGTTTTGGCCAAAGTTTTCAAGTATTAAAATTTGCACCAAAACTAATTTCCATGGAAAATTTAGACTTTTTTTTTTCATTTTCATTTTTCAATGTTTTCCAGGGTTGAGGAGACATTTTTAAATCAGCTCCGACAAAAATCTTCTCCAGCAGCAAGTCTAGTGTTTTCTTGTTGGCTTTTACCATATAAGAAGGATATGAATTCAGCTCCCAGCTTATTTTATCTCTGTATTTGGCAATAGTGCAATTGCTATGACAAATTGGAGAGGGTTCAGAGAAGAGCCAGGATAATGAACAAAGAATTAGAAAACACACTTTATAGTGATAGACTAAAGGAACTCAATCTATTTAGCTTAACAAAGAGAATCACAGTCACAGAATCACAGTCTATCAGGGTTGGAAGGGACCTCAGGAGATCATCTAGTCCAACCCCCTGCTCAAAGCAGGACCAATCCCCAATTTTTGCCCCAGATCCCTAAATGTCCCCCTCAAGGATTGAACTCACAACCCTGGCTTTAGCAGGCCAATGCTTAAACCACTGAGCTATCCCTCTCCCCAAAAGAAGATTAAGGGGTCACTTGATTACAGTCTATAACTAACTCCCTGGGGAACAAATATTTAATAATGGGGTCTTCAATCTAATAGAAAAAGATATCACATCATCCAATGGCTAGAAGTTGAAGCTAGACAAATTTGGATTGGACATAAGGTATACATTTTAAAAAGTGAGAGTAATTAACCATTGAAACAACTTACCAACGGTCCTGGTGGATTCTCCATCACCGACAATTTTTAAATCATGATTGGATGTTTTTCTAAAAGATATGCTCTAGGTCAGGAATTATTTTGGGGAAGTTCTATGGCCTGTATTATGCAGCAGGTCAGACAGATGATTACAATGGTCCCTTCTGGCCTTGGAATCTATGAATCTAGAAGTTATGTTTAAATACAGCAAATACAACTTCTTGACACAGAATTTAGATTTAATGCCCACACAGGCTGGATTTTGGTGATTTATCCAAAAAGTAACATGAAAATTCTTCACAGCAAGAAAAACTCGACTTAGTAAACAAGAGAAGACAGCCCACATTCACCAGGCTATTCATGACCTGGAACAGTTTCACTTTCTAGGACTTTGCAGATGCTATGGTGAATGTGAAAGTTAGTGCCTCTTAGTAACATACCACACTGAAAATGTATATTTAAAATGTACAGTATTTCTCACCTAGCTTTTTATATCTATACATTTAGGGCCAAATTCTGATACTCTTATTCAGGCTGAATAGTACCTGATTTTAAAAGATCACTAAAAGACTACAGTACTATTCGGTATCAGAATTTGGCCTTTAGGCTTTTTCTTTTTTAAATGAAAACAACCACACTATTTCTATTTGTACAAATCCCCCTGTCAGATTGAAGCAAAGTTTACACAAATCTTGCTTCCTCTGCTATTTCTAATGAATTTTTCATATTACAGTTTGATGTCAGATTCATCTGTTTTGTCAAAAATGTAGTTAAAAACCTCTCATATAATTGCACTTTGAACGCGTCTCTCGCTCAAACAAAATGTTTGCTGTTAGATTAGAATTTTTGGGCCAGAAACCCAGCAGCATGAAGGACCTTGAACTGGCTTTCATTCTGCAATCAGGACAGCTTCATACTGCTTCCAGAATGTTTTGAGAACACTGTACACAGAGGGATTGCTGATGGACTGTTTACAGAATGCTATAATAAAAAATAAAAAAAACCCCAAGGTTCTCCCCAGGTCTTTCTCTTCACGACTCTCCACATCCGCAATCAATGTACGTTAGTTCTTAGTGTGTATTGTTAAACTAAAGGTCATCTTTGAGCTGTGCCATGTGAGTTTCACAAAATTGCTGCCCCTTGATCTCTGCATGAGGTGATGTGTTTGGAAGAAACTGTTAAGATGTTTTGGACTTATAAATTCCAGCTAAGAATGCAAATGAAGGACTGTTCAAAAAACAATCTTTGATATGATCCTGGCATCAAGGATCATATCTCAGTGGACAGAAGGAGAAAGACTGAAAGTCTACTGCCCAGAGCAGAATTTCAGCCACAGATCAACCAAAACGCTGACATCTAAACTATATAAATTACTCACATCCTACTGTGTAAGAGGTTCCTATTGGAGGTTCATTATCTGTTTGAAGGACAGCTTCTTAAATTTATCAAAGAAAGATTTCTCTTTCTAATTACCTGAGAAACATTCTAATAGGAGTTAGTTAAATACAGCCTCCAGAGAAACAGCTGTGCTACCTGTTATTTTATGGTATGGTACAACACTGTCTGCACCCCTGCCTGCCTTTATCAATGGAACTGATGTGAGCTTGATTTGAATAAGGCATTGCTACTCATTCAGTTGATCATTGATTTTTTTCTTTCCTGAATTTCTTTTTATTATAATGATTTTTTTAAATTTCAGTCAACTTTGTTCAGACAAGATTCTCATCCACATATGTTCTGACCTCATAACAAGAACCAAGCAAAATGGATACTGATTATTCACATGCCAATGCATATCGTACAAAATATTACATTTCCCCTCATTGATATCAGACTGACATTATACAACACATAAATGCTTATTTGCCTTAGTCCCTGTCCCTTATCTACCCCACCCTACTTCCACCCAGAAGGCAGGATTGGATATTTCCTCAAGAAGGGTGGAGACTGAAAGACATAGCATCCAGTACCTTGACCAAAATTTTGGCTCATAATTCTTTTTGGTACTGTGTGAGCACTACTGAATCCATATTCATCTCTGTGGTCCAGAATAAACTGCAGAAAATGGCTCTGAATATACCTGGCTTGGTAGCTTTAATTGTGTTTTACGCAATAACTTTAGCCATTGGAATTTGGGCTTCTTGGAAAAGCAAAAAGGACCAGAAGAAAGGGAAACCAAGTGAGATGATCATAGTGGGGAGCAGGAACATGAATTTTTTCATTGGATTATTCACTGCAACTGGTAAGTGTTCTGAAAGGAAATCTGTTTATCTTATTAAAACATTCAGGTTGAGCTTTTCTCATTCACAACATAAATTTGTTCTTCTAAGTCTGGGATATGGAAGTTTTATTAGCATTGTGGGCCAGATTGTGCCAGCCCTACTCACACTGAGCAGTCCCTAATGTCTTGAGTAGTGGGACTCCCTAAGGAATATGATACTACTCAGGAGGATAGTATGTGGTGCTAATTTAGGGCAAGATTCTGCTACCTTCACTCGTGTTGAATACCTTACTTTTTATGTGGGATATGGTGCTGCTCATCATGAGTAAGGCTATCAGAATCTGCCTATAAAGAAGGATGTATATATAGTTCTTTAAAGCATTTACACACTATGCTTCTGACACCTCTTCTATTTCTTCTGTGTTTTCCCATCATCAGAGATTTTTCCCTCTTACCTATCAATAGGGGAATGCTGTCCCAAGTGACATTTGTCTGGCCAGCAGATTTGCTTGGTTTTAGTCTAAGCTGAAGACTCACTTTTTTGAATGCAGTATGTGCTTGACTGTTGTTTTAAGGGATTTATTTTCTTAAGCACACATTTGCTATTGTAAAGGACCATGATACATGGGAATTATGTTCTATAAATTATTAAGGAACAATAAATGTAACGCTATTTGCTCTTGCTATCTGCTCCAGCCAGTGTCTACCATTAACAAAAACAGAAATAAAAATAAACCTTTTCTGAACATTAATGAGTTTTCCATACAAATGTAGCTATTCACTTTGAGTATCACCTCTCCAGAATTTTACCCAGGCCAGGTCTACACTGCAATGTTTTGTCAGCATAGCTATGTCGGACAGGGGTGTGAAAAAACCTCATCCCCCAGCCAACACAGCTATGCTGGCAAAACCCCAGGAATAGATTCAGCTATGCTCTGGTTAAACTTGGATTTATGCTGGAAATGGCCCACCTTGATTATCATACACATTGTAAGGAGAGTGGTCACTTTGGATGAGCTGTTACCAGCAGGAGAGTGAGTTTGTGTGTGTGTGTGTTTTGGGGGGGGAGGGGGGGAGAAAACCTGGATTTGTGCTGGAAATGGCCCACCTTGATTTTCATACACATTGTAAGGAGAGTGGTCACTTTGGATAAGCTATTGCCAGCGGGAGAGTGAGTTTGTGTGTGTGGTTTTTGGAGGGAAGGGGGGGGGTGAGAGGACCTGGATTTGTGCTGGAGGTGGCCCAGCTTGATTGTCATGCACGTTGTGAGGGGAGTGGTCACTTTGGGTGGGCTGTTGCCAGCGGGAGAGTGGGTTTGTGTGTGGGGGGGGATAGGCGGAGGGTGAAAAGACCTGGATTTGTGCTGGAAATGGCCCAACTTGATTATCATACACATTGTAAGGAGAGTGATCACTTTAGATAAGCTATTACCAGCAGGAGAGTGGGGTGGGAGGAGGTATTGTTTCATGGTCTCTGTGTATATAATGTCTTCTGCAGTTTCCACAGTATGCATCCGATGAAGTGAGCTGTAGCTCACAAAAGCTTATGCTCAAATAAATTGCTTAGTCTCTAAGGTGCCACAAGTACTCCTTTTCTTTTTGCGAATACAGACTAGCACGGCTGTTACTCTGAAATCTGTTGCCATAGCTAATGTCATCCAGGAAGGTGATGTTACTATCCCGGCAGAAAAATTCCTGTCAGTCTATGCTGCATCCCCTGTAGGGGCTTTTGCCAGCATAACTGTATCCACAGAACCTGTGTAGTGTAAACTAGCCTTTAGGGTCAGATTCTGATAAATGTGATAGTAAATGTGATAAATGTGAAGTAAAAAAAATCTGGAGTAAATGTGAGTGTGAGTAAACACTCACCAGTGTGAATAGAGGTTCACAGTCTGGCTCTGTACTTTTCAATATGTTTTATGAGAGTAGTAAGGCAATATATGTCTCATCACTATTTCTCCTGCCCCCCCCCCCTTTTTTTTTTTCAGCAACCTGGGTTGGAGGAGCATATATCAATGGTACAGCTGAAATTGTCTATCTTCCCACAAGAGGACTAGTGTGGGTCCAGGCGCCAATAGGATTTGCTTTGTCCCTTGTTATTGGTAAAAAAAACAAAAAAAACCCCCAAAACATGTTATAAATCTTTTTTTTTTTAATCCAATGTTATGGATCTAAAAAATGCAGACTCTCCCAGTGTTGACCGGGTCTTTTCCCTGCTACCCAGAACACACAGGTTCACAGACAGACTCTTGAGCTGAAGAAGTATGTCTTTTATTTGCTGATTCAATGAGAGATCAGTCCACCAAAACATGCCACAGCATAGGGTTAAATGCTAGCGCATACCCACATTCAGGTGCTCGCCTTAAATATATTGTTACAAAATTAGTCCTTATAGATATAAACACTTTTCTGCCTAACACTAAGATTAGTTTGCTAACTCAGTTGTTTACCTGATCAGGTTGTTGACCAAGCTGTTCCCCTGATTGAACCAGTTGTTCATCCGATTGAAGTGCTGGCTCAGCTTTTCACTTGGCTGTTCTCCCTCCCTGCCAGACAAGCAGGCATCTTTTCATATGTCCCAACATCTACAATATACATTCTACATATTATGTGTTCTACACTCAGATAACTGTCAAATACTCAGGCTGTTTAAATTATTCTGAATGAAGTGTCAGATAGTGGACATCCCAAAAGTGATATAATTGGCCTTTATCGGACTATGTTCTGCATACATACAATAGATTCAGGATGAGAATTCAAGGGATTAATAATTGGAGGATTAGGGCCTAAAATGCAGAACTTAATGGGGCTCTGTGCAGATGCAGAGATTCACCTGCATGAGACAATCTACATCAAGAGAATCTTATCTGTGTGTTTTGCTTGCATGTGATAGTCTGTGAATACTGTTTTTCTCCAATATCCTTTTGGAAGTAGGAACATCATGCCCTCAACAAAATGTAATTTCTTTCTTTGAAATGTTTGTGGAGCTAAAAAGTATCACCATAATTTCCCCACCAAAATACATTCTCTTAACACCCTAAATCTCAATGCATGTTTGCTACAGAAGACCTAGCCAAGTCCCTTAGTGGACAGTCACCAGTCAGCTGTAATTGTACCAACTTTGGAGCCCATGTGCTTCCAAGCCAGCTGGATCTGGTCAGCATCCAGTCACTGCTTCTAACTCTGGGCCTCTCAGAGTATGTCTACACAGCAATATAAGCCTAAGATTAGTGGGACTCAAGTTGACCTGACTGAACCTTGGGTTTGAGAATTTACATGGCATTTCAACTCGAGATTAAGGATTTTCTGACCCCTGGTGCGCTCACTTGTAACACTGATAGACCCCGGTCATCGGGATTGAACCTGGGATCTTTGGAGCTAAATACATGAGCCTCTACTGCATGAGTTAAATGCCATATGGCCCTTAGCTAAGGCTGTAGAGCAGACTCATTAATCTCTCTCTCTAAGTGGTCTCGGTCCCACTACATATGGGGTTCTCAAACTTTTGTACCTGTGATCCCTTTTATATAGCAAGCCTCTGAGTGCGACCCCCTCCCTTATAAATTAAAAACACTTTTTAATGTATGTAACACCATTATAAAGGCTGGAGGCAAAGTGGGGTTTGGGGTGGAGGCTGACAGCTCGCAACCCCCCATGTAATAACCTCGTGACCCCCTGAGGGGTCCCAACCCCCAGTTTGAGAACCCCTGCCCTAGATGGGACAGCACACCACACCCAGGAGGTGTATGAGTTACACACACGCGCGCACGCACACACCTGCTGTTGACTAATGCTGGCTATTGCTGGGGCTCAGGTGCCCATAAGGCTCACATGAGTACATAAGCTGCATAATTAGCTTCTTTGGCGGCTGTCTCAGTAGAATGACTGGGGTTTGAGAAGGCTTTGTACTGAACTACCATCTAACCAGACAACTAGGCTCTTCACCAGTTTAGGCTGAGTCAGGAAAAGGCCCATGTGCAGCTGTTCTGAGGAGAATTCACACATCAGGCTCCCCGGCTGTCAAACTATGAAAGTGAAACTTCGCAATTCTTAATTTCTGAAATGGAATGTTCAGTGAAGGTGTTTTCCTTTGGCTGGTTTTTTATTTACTTTTGTCTGTCTGTTTCGAAGTTTGACATAAAAGGCAGGTTTCAGAGGAAAAACACTCCAGCCCCGCTGGCAGCAGAGCAGTGAAGTGCATCCCTGTGTGCTCCAGCACCTTCCAGGATCCCTTATCCCTGCCCCGACGCGCCCTGGGAGGCAGGGATAAGAGATCTCTGGGAGGCTGTGGGGAAGTTTGGGGGCTGGCTCCCACTCTCTGCCCTGACAGCACACACTGCCTGGGCACTCTGCACATGCAGCCCCCGGGGGGGCCGGAGAGCAGGGTGGAGACCAAGCAGCAGCCCTGCAGGGAGGGGGAGCGGTCAGGGTGTTGAGGGTCATCCTTCCCCGGCCATGCTGAGCTGCGAGTTCTGCTCCCCCCTCTCTGCAGGGCAGTTGCTTGATCCCTGCTCTTCTCTCTAGGGCCCCACCTTCCCTAGGGTTGCATGTCCAGTAAACAAGGGGTTAACCTGCTGATTCGACCTGCTGCCATTTGCAAAGGAAGGTGCAGCTTCCATTTGCAATAGAGTGCAACAGATGGCATCACAGATCGTCAGCATAGAAAAGACTAATGAAGTTGCCCGAAGGAACTCTGGGATACATTCGGAGGACTGCCGGGACCCGAGTCAAGCTGGGACCCTGTGCACAAAGGAAAGCAATAGGGCTCGAACACCAGGTCCCATAGCCAGCTTAATGTTTGCCTGGACCCTCCAGCCCTGCAGGGTCCTGGGAACCTAGCTCCGAGCCCTTGGTTAGCACAATTGGTATGTGGATGCAAGGGAGTTAGATTTGAGCCCAGGCTTAAGCCTAGGCTTACGCTGCTGGGTAGACATACCCTAAGGCCCACTACTGGGTACAGAGCTCTTGTCTGGCCCCCTCTGTGGGTGCTCTGGATTGTAATTTAACTCTTTAGGGACACATGGCAAGTAAAGTAAGGAACACAGGCTTTGCTCTGGAGTTTTTAAAATCACAGTAAGCTTTGCTGTCAAAGCATACAAGAGTTACAGATCTCTAGGAAAACAACAGGAGCCTGAATGCTCGTTTCCCTGTGTCTATGCTCATCCTTTCTTGTGAGTCCTTAGGCCTAGTCCATGTGTCAAGCAGGTAGGCCCCATGGGTCCTTTACCTTCTGCAGTCTCTGTTTTTCAGCAAGAGAGTGAGAACCAAGAGCAGATCTTGCATTTAAATAAGGTTTCAGTCCCCTTTGTCACGTTATCTACTGACCAGCCTCATGATCTCAGTCAGGTGGTTGAAGTCCTACTCCCCTGGGAGACAAACTGGGAGAACCAGTTTCCTTTAACCTGGCCACTGGTTTCAGCAAATCCAGTGTTCTGACAAGCACCACTGATGACTCTTGTGTTAGTTGCTTCAGGGAGGCGCCCTGCATTACAATAAGCTGCCTTGGTCTGTTCTTGGCATCTCTAGGCAGGCAAAACTACACACTCCAAATGCAAGTCACATTCTTCAAAATGGCAGTTACAATGTCAAGGGCAGGTCACAATTAGATACAGCCATACACCAGCCCATCACATAAAGCTGGAGTAGTGGGTGTGCAACAGTGCCATTTGCGGGCAGCTTCCCCCGGAAGCGTGTAGTAGGAATTTAGCAGAATCCTACAAGTAGAGACAAGGAAGAGCTGCTCTTACACTGGGAAATATCTGCCCTGTGAAGAGCACTATGACTTTGATCCAAAGCCCACTGAAATCAATGGAAAGATGCCTATTGACTTCCATTTCAATCAGGCCCTAAAGCAGTAGCCTATGGGCACAGCAACCCTTTCTCACATGAGTAATCCTTACCAACACAAGAAGCCCCATTCAGAGACTGCAGGTCCAGTCCAGCACCCATTCCTCATGTCAGTAATCCCCAGACAAGTAGTCCTGTAGGCATCAGGATTTGGCACTACATACATTCATCAATTTTAATAGAACTACTTGTTTGAGTGAGGATTGCTGATATGAGGAAGGAGTGTAGGACTGGGCTCAGTTCATGAGGTGCTGACATTAAAAACAAGATAATTTAATTTTGGAGGAGGCATAGGGGAGCTGCACGTTTCATTGTATGTAACTGAGGGCAGCATTTATCTCAGTATGTTGCATGGCACCTAGCATTCACAAAATCAAGGACAAACCTATTGCCTTATATTGACCAAAGCACATGGGCGGCGGGTAGCATAGGCAGGGAAGGCTGTGCCTCCCCAAAGAGCCTGGTGTGGCCTCATCCACACTCTGCCCAGAAAGCCCCCTCTTGCTTGCTCTTGTCCTTCTCCCTTGGCCCCAGCCCAGCTGGTCACTTGTCTTCAGGGAAGCAGGCTAGGGCTGGGGCTGGAGCTAGGGTTAGGGTGGCCGTGGCCTGCCTGCAGCCTGGACTTGGGGTGACTGGGGCTGCCCAGCACTGAGGGGCCCTCAGGCACTGGGGCCGCACTGCCCAGTGCTGAGGGGGGAGGATGCCAGAGCTGGGACTGTCCGTCCTGTGCTTGGGGGCGCTCGGGGGTTAGGGCTGGCGGACATGGGGAGGGTGGGGCTCTGGGATCCAATGGGGCCTCAGGCAGGCGCTAGCCTCCCTGAGCCAGCGGGTCAGCCACTGCCCATGCCAAAGTGCACTTTTTTCAGATGATGTAAGACCCTTTACAGTGAAAACTCCATAGGGCCTTGCATTGCCTGAAGAAGATGGTTACTGATGAGAAGTGCACTTTAAAAAGCTTGGTAAATGTGGATATTTAATGAGGTGATCAGCTGATGGACATTTTAACGGGGAACATTAGCAAATTATTGCAGTGTGACCAGTGAACATTGACTAATGCTGGCTTTAATACAGATATCATTTAGAACAAGAGGACAGTTCTGACAATTTCTTAGGAGATGTGTATAAAATTCAATGACAATATTATCATTTCTGATAGGTGGCCTCTTCTTTGTAAATCCAATGAGATCCAAAAATTATGTGACAATGATGGATCCTCTCCAAGAAACATACGGGAACATGATTGGAAGCCTTCTCTTTATTCCACCTTTAATAGGAGATATATTCTGGTTTGCAGCTATTCTTGCTTCATTAGGTAAATATATTTGCTCAGCATTTGTATTTGATAGAAAGATGATGTAGCGAAGACAAGGGAAAGACCAGCCATGGATAGCTCTGCTTTACGCCACCTTTTGCGGATTATGTGTTCATCGCTAATTCATGAAACTATATTATTTATTCCCTTTCCTAATGTTTCTTGTGCATGTTTAAAGTAAAACTGATAGAAATATAAAATTCACATTTCCATAGTACTAGGTAATGATGTGTATTTATTTACTATCATCCTGATATTATAAATGAGGAAACTGAAGTGCAGAGAGCTGAAGTGACTTGGCCAAGGTCACAAAGTAAGTTGGTGACAGCACAAGAAATAAAACTCTGGAATCCTTGGCTTCTAGCCAGGTGCACTAACCACTAGACTACATTGCCATTGGTATCATTTAACAACTTATTTGTATAATAAGAAACTTGCATATATAAGACCTGTTATGATTGTTCAAAACTGTCTTTGTCTGCAGGGGCAACAATGAGAGTCATTTTGGATATTGGAGGCTATTTGGCCATAATCATATCGGCATGCACTGTTATACTCTACACTTTACTGGGAGGGCTGTACTCAGTTGCATACACAGATGTGATACAGCTGATTTTTATTGTGCTCAGCCTGGTAAGTTCAATGCATTTCTGTGTTATCCGTTTTCTCAAGATTTCATAATCAAAGATGAGAGACAAAATTCCTCTCGCATTTTCACCAGTCTCAGTCCAAAGAAGGTCCATTGACACTGGTCTCAGACCCCAAAGCTCTACTTTAGGTGTAAAAACAAAAAGGCCCCAGGACTACATAAAGCCAGTTTTTCAACTCTTACTTGGGTTGAGTAGCACTTACTCATGGGTGTAGTCTACTGTCTATTCACATGAGTAAAGATAGCAGAATCTAGCCCATAATTTTCTTGGCTGGAAATAAACAAAACCCAAGAAGACGGTTATCCAAAAACACCAATTAATTTAAATAAAGCAACCATGCTCTTAACTACACGATGCAAGACACAAGGCGTAATTCTTCCAGTTTACTCTGCACTGATTAGGCCTCACTGGAGTATTGGGTCCAGTTCTTGGAGCCACATTTCAGGACAGCTGTGGACAAATCGGAGAAAATCCAGAAAAGAACAACAAAAATGATTAAAGGTTCTGAAAACATGACCTATAGGGGAAGATTGAAAAAGTTGGGTTTGTTTAGTCTGGAGACGAGAAGGCTAAGATGGGACATGGTAACAGGTTTTCAAGTACATAAAAGGTTGTTACAAGGAAGAGGAAGAAATTTATTCTTGTTAATTTCTGAGGATAGGACTAGAAGCAATGGGCTTAGATTGCATCAAGAGAGGTTTAAGGTTGGACATTAGGAAAAGCTTCCTAACTGTCAGGGTAATTAAGCACTGGCATAAATTGCCTAGGGAGGTTGTGGAATCTCCATCATTGGAAGTTTTAAAGAGTAGGTTGGACAAACACCTGTCAGGGGTGGTCTAAATCAGTGGTTCCCAAACTTGTTCTGCCGCTTGTGCAGGGAAAGCCCCTGGAGAGCCGGGCCGGTTTGTTTACTGCCGTGTCCGCAGGTTCGGCCGATCGCGGCTCCCAGTGGCCGCAGTTCGCTGCTCCAGGCCAATGGGAGCTGCTGGAAGCGGCGGCCAGTATGTCCCTCCGCCCGCGCTGTTTCCAGGAGCTCCCATTGGCCTGGAACAGCGAACCACAGCCACTGGGAGCCGTGATCAGCCGAACCTGCAGACGCGGCAGGTAAACAAACCGGCCCGGCCTGCCAGGGGCTTTCCCTGCACAAGTGGCAGAACAAGTCTGGGAACCACTGCTTTAGATAATATTTACTCCTGCCTTGAGTGCAGGGGACTGGACTAGAAGACTCTTGAGGTCCCTTCCAGTCCTATATTTCTATGATGACCATGCAGATGAAGGACAGGGCCCAAGAATGGGGGAAAACAAATTACTCTTTGCACCTCCTTTGTGCCTGGTGCACAGCTGAGAATGTGCTCAATCTCTCTGTGTCTGAGTTTATCCAACATTACAACGGTGACAATAATTCATATTTGGTGGCCCTTTCTGATGGACTCTCTTTTTCCTGTTAATAACAGAACATTGACATACCAAATTCTTGGCATAGAGGATATGATACATGGAGTGAAGATTTTAACCTTAATGCATTAGTGAATTACAGAGGGCTGGCACTAGGATGACCAGATATCAAGTGTGAAAATCAGGAGAGGTGGTGGGGGATCATAGGCACTTATATAAGACAAAGCCCCAAATATTGGGACTGTCCCTATAAAATAGACATCAGTCTAGCTGGCACTGAAAGGCCTTGTAGAACAAGAAGGAATTTGAATGAGCTTGAGGGAAATGCTTAGGGAAAAGGAGGGGGAATGAGATACAGGAACAGGAATAAAGGGTGGCATGAAATGAAGACGAGCAAGAGGAGGAGATAAAAGGGACAATTAGGCAGAAGGCTTGGGATGGTTGTAGGAAGCAGAAGTGGGAGAGGAGGAAATTAGAGCAAAGGCAAGGCCAAGGAGCTTGAATAGGCTATAGAAGTGAGAGGAAGCTAGTGAAGAGATTCAGTGTTTCCATTTTAATCCCAGTGGATCTGTGTCCCATTTGCCCTGCTCAACTCTGCAACAGAAAACATTTATTACACTGCTGCTCAGGAATCCTACCAAGCCCCTTGGATTGGGCAAGTACAAACAGAATATCTTGGAAGGTGGCTGGATGACTTCTTATATCTGGTAAGAAATCTTTCTTGGATTGGCTGGTGGGGTGGGAGATTGGACTGGGTGAATGGTTTCATCATCCATTCCAAAACCAGTCCACAGAGTTGGCAAAAGACTCATCCCTGAAACAAAGGCCACCGCACACCAAACTTCAACTCTCTGCTCCCAAGCATCCAGGCGCTAAGAAAGAATCACAAAAAAGGCATTTTTCAGAGGCCACATTCTCAGGAAACAGCTGGACCATTCTGGCTGAACTTTTAAAACAGTTAAAGTTTGTTAAACGTATAAGCAACTGAAACTAAGCTCTTATAATGGTAAGTGTCAGGTAATCTTGATAACAGAAGGTGCTACTAGCCCTACCAATAAATAAAATAATACTAACAGGCATGGACCGTTGTCTCACTGCATTAACATTTGAACGTTTCAGATTCTTGGAAGTATCCCGTGGCAAACTTATTTCCAACGAGTTCTCTCAGCCTCCTCACCAAGACAAGCAAGGCTCATTTCCTATCTCTCTGGATTGGGGAGCTTTTTAATGGCCATCCCCTCTGTGCTCATAGGGGCCGTAGCAGCATCCACAGGTAAAACTAAATCATGTGGCTTTAAGAAATGTACTTTTTTGCTCAAGGTTTAAAATCAGTGGCCAAGATTATTAAAATGGGGCCTAAAGATAGGACTACGTTGTCTTGATTTAGGCACCTAAGAAAGCAGCTGGTTTCAGTGCTGAGCATCGAGTAGCTTTTACTGACATCAGTGGGAGTTGCTGGACGTTTAGCATTTTTGATACTCAGGCCACTTATTTAGGGGCCTGAATCAGAATGCTGGAGCCTTCCAGCTTCTGATTCAGGTATTCAAATACCGAATATCTATTTAAAATGTTTTATGTTAAATAAAGGGGCTGCCACGTTTCTATTCTGTGCACAGTACAATACATACTCTTGAGTGCAAAAAGGGGAAAAAAAAGACCAATAAAACTTATTTTCCCTCACTGCTTTATACTCATGATCTTTACTGCGTTGTGTCGGTATCATTTGATCATGTTCAGGGGGAGAAACGCTCAAAGGAATTTAAAGATTCAGTGGTAAAACAAAAACAAACTCCTCCCTCCTCCTTCCCCTCCAGAAAAAATCTCAACCCTAGTTGGAGCAGGATCAAGCTCTTGTGGAAGTAAATAACTTAAGAGTCAGAAAAGAATTTGATACTTATGGGCTAAAGCTGTCAGAGAAATCAGTGCAAAGACCCCATCTCTGAGCAATCTATGTCTGGAGGGCGGACAGACCTCTCAGTGCCCTGTTCCCAGAAGCAGCAGAAAGGACACCCTTGCAGGCACATTGTGCCCTGGACCAACCATCCCTCCAAGTGGTTGACTCAGTTCACTGCCAGTTTACCCAGCAGTATTGGACCATTGTGGCCCTTACTTGATGCATAAACCAGTGTTAGGATTTGGCATTAACAACATATACATACTTTCTAGCTAGGTTTCCAAGGACTTTCAGTTCTCATGCTTCAGGACATACACTGATCACCAATTGGAGTCAGGAAACAACATAATCTAAGTTCTAGAACACATGCGGAAGGATGGCTCTTTGTAGAAATACAGCTCTGAAGGCAACAAAAGCATGAATTAAATATTTAATTCTTCGCCTCCTTTTTTTGTTCTGTGTTCAAGACTGGAATCAGACGAGCTATGGTCTTCCAACACCAGTGGAGAGAGGAGAGTCAGCCATGATACTGCCATTGGTGCTGCATTATCTCTGCCCGACCTACATTTCCATTGGCGGCTTGGGAGCGATCGCTGCTGCCGTCATGTCTTCTGCAGATTCAGCCCTTCTCTCTGCCAGCTCTATGTTTGCACACAACATCTACAGAAAAATTCTTAGGAAACAGGTGACAGATTCACCACTAGTATTTACAGCGGGGAGAAACTACTGAAAATCTGTGCAAAATTTTTGCCACCATTTCAGGTGTCTGATTTCAGATTCCCAAAATTTCAACTGTTTGTCAAATTTAGGGAAACTTGAATTTTCACATGACATTTGCTCTCCCCAGTACAGCACTGCTGTCTGCTGGAAGCCCGGAGATCCCAGACTTGAACATTTGTCTGTCATGACTGGGATATGTGACCTTGTCCAAGTCATTTAGGCCCAGATTCTTAAAGGTATTTAGTAAATTGCTGTACTCAGCATTGCAAGGCCCAACTGATTTAGCCTAATCTAATTTTCAAAAGTGATTTAGGCCCTTAAGAGTCTAAATCCCATCGGCTGTCAATGGTATTTTGGCTCCTAATTGCTGAAATCCTTTTGGAAAATGAGATTTGGTTAGGTGCTGCAACACTGAGCACAGCAATGTCCAATGCTTAATTTGTAAAGAAAGAGGTGCTCGGCTTCAAGCAATTAGGTGACGTGTCTCAAGCAATTATTTTACATTCTTAATTGATGCAGCAAGCCCAGAGGTGCTGGGGCTATGAACGGCCAAGCCTAGAGATGTCAGGGCTCAGCCCTGGCAGAAATTCATAGATCACACCTCCATATCTCACAACAACAGGGACTGATTCATGCTTTAGCAGACTGTATATTATTGATACAACACAGAGAGACTGATCCCGCTCCCATTTCGGCAAATGGGAGTTTTACTATAGACTTCAATATAGCTATAGCTTCAAGTCCGTAAAGGTATACAAGTCAGAAGTGGTAACAGAATCCAAGAGCTAGTGATTCCCATTCCTCTGGTCAACAGGCTAGCCCATGCTGCCAAAGTCAAACTGGGTTTTGCAAAAACACCAGAAGCTTGCAGAAGTTCTCTAAACTCAAAATGGCAAAATAAATTATTATGGGTATGGTAACTTTAGCTTGCAGGGCACGGGCTGCTGGGCTGCTTTATTGCTGTGTAGACTTTCAGATTCAGGTTGCAGCCTGGGTTCTAGGACTCTGCGGGGTAGGAGGATCCTAGACCTCAGGCCCCAGCTCGAGCCTGGAAGTCTACACATCAATGAAACAACCCCACAGCCTGAGCTCCACGAGCTTGAGTCAGTGGGCATGGGCCAGCCACGGGTTTTTCTTTGCTGTGTAGACATACTCTATGTTGCTCAGCTCCCGTATTTGATAGTAAGTTCTTACTATATATTTTACTATGTACTTTTTTTTTATTATTATTAGCTACTCTAATTCCAAAGATGTATTTCAAAATGAACATGGCCCAGAGATTTGAATGTAGAGTTTTTCTAAGTCAAGACTAATTCAAATCCAGCCCAGGTTGGTAATGCTTACAGATAGCTTCTGATGGGCCAAACCAAAATTCTAGATCCAAATACCTCTGAACGTAGGTGTATTCAAAATCTGGATCCAGAACTAAATTCTTCAGCTGAAGTCTATTTGTAAAATTTGGATCTGGATATTATTTATCTGATCATTGTAAACTTGAGATTGGATTCAGGATCAGATTAAAAATGAGCCAGTGATGATTTCTACAACAATACTCTCTTATTTTACAGGCTACAGAGAAAGAAGTTGTCTCTATAATGAGGGTCTCCATGGTGGTTTTTGGGGCAGCAGCTGCAGGCCTGGCTTTTTACTTCCATTCTATTTATGATCTGTGGTTCTTGAGTGGTGAGCTGGTGTACACCCTTCTCTTTCCCCAGCTCTGCTGCGTCCTCTTCATTCCCAACACCAACATATATGGCTCAGCTGCTGGATTCTTCTTCGGGTTCCTGTTAAGGCTGCTGGCAGGGGAACCTTCCCTGAAAATCCCCCCTATAATCCACTACCCAGGCTGCTCCCTTGTGGACGGCGTCTACGTTCAGCTGTTTCCTTTTAAAACCTTCACCATGCTTCTCACTTTGGGGACTATTGTCGCTGTTTCATACCTGGTGGCGTTTTTGTTTAAGAGAAACATCCTCCCTCGCAGGTGGGATGTTTGCAGTGTAATAAAAGAAAATGGTGCATTCACCCACCCGCCCTGCGCCAGATAGGAGAACAGGTGAATTTACAAGCACCTATGCTACTAGAGAATCATGATTAAATGCAGGGCATCACTGAGCATTCTGCAGTTAAGTTAGCAGGTTAATGACATTTCTTTTCCAGTCTTCTCTCGCCAGTCATGAATTATTTGGTAGATTCACAAAGAAAACAATAATTCCATTTGCACTATTAAAAGGAATGAAGTCAGAATATGCAACAATTTAAGGGCATCTGGTGAAGGAACTTGATCTTGCAGTGGTTAGAATTGTTAATATAATGAAATAACGCAATGCTTCTGCATGTTCTTGGTACTAGGAGCTTGAAAAATGCAGTAGGGATGAGAGGTTACAAAGTGAGTTGCCACAGATGTGAACTTCATACGTGACACCTCCACATCACACAACAAAGGGGACTGATTGATCCTTTAACAAATTGTATTTTATTCATAAGACACACACAGGCTGATCCTGCTCCCATTGCAGCAAATGGGAATTTTACTACAGACTTCAATGGGGATAGCATCAGGTCTATGAAAGTATATAGACAAGTATGCTACCTTTTGAATTTGATATAGTCCCCAGTAAAATGGCAAAGCCATCTGTTGGGGGAGAGATCAGATGCAGAAAAAAATAAGTCACCCACTACTTTTACAATGCATAAATTATATATTGGACCAACCAGGCTGTTGAAATCAATACTTTACATTAGCTAGACTGAATTTTACAGACGTATGGTCTAATCACAGTTTAAACAGAAGTCTGGAAGCCGGAAATTCCTGAGTTCTATATAAGCCTTTGCCAATGACTTCCTCTTGTGGTCTTGGTGAAGTCATTTAAACTATGGTCCCCAGTTTTATTATCTGCAAAATGGGGATAATGGCCCCAATTCAGAATCTCACTTAATCACATGCTTACCTGTAAGCAACTGAGCAATCTTATCTCTGTTTAGCAAAGGACTTCAGCACATGCTTAACTTTAAGCACGTGAGCAGTCCCTCTGACTTCAGATTTTGAACATGCTGAACTGCTTTGCTGAACCAGGAATGACAATACTTATCTACATCACATGAGGTGGTGATGATTAATTAGCTAAGGTTTGTAAAGAGTTTGAAGATGAAAAGTTTTAAGTAAGGATCCACCCACTCCAGCTTTCACTGAAGTCATTCAAAACTGCCAGTGATTTGAGTGGGAGCAAAATTGTGTTTGTACACTGATTTGAACATAGAAGGCACTAGACATGGATAATTACCATTAAATCTCGGTTACCATATAAAGACACAAACATATTACCCAAAAAGAAGGTAATGTAATTGACACAAACAATCTCAATCCTTAGCCTTACCACTGAGCCTGCTAACCATCCTGGTGGCTAACATGGACAGTTGACGCATGTCAACTAGGATCTATATTTAGACCAACTCTTTGTGTATAGGTTCTCTGAACATCAGTCACATAAGGATTCTTCATCATTACTAGGGCCCTACCAAACTCACAGTCCATTTTGGTCAATTTCACAGTCATAGGATTTTTAAAATTGTAAATTTCATTATTTTAGCTATTTAAATCTGAAATGTCATGGTGTTGTAATTGTAGGGATCCTGATCTAAAAAGGCATTGTTATTGTAGGGGGGGGTTGTGGTACTGTTACTTCTTACTTCTTCTTACTCCTTACTTCTGCACTGCTGCTGCTGGTGGCGGCTGCCTTCAGTGCTGGGCAGCTGGAGAGCGGCAGCTGCTGGCTGGGAGCCCAGATCTGAAGGCAAAGCCACAGCCAGCAGCAGCAGTGCAGAAGTAAGGATGGCATGGTATGGTATTGCCAACCTTACTTCTGCAATGCTGCTGGCGGGATGCTGCCTTCAGAGCTGGGCATCTGGCCAACAGCCACTGCTCTCTGGCCATCCAGCTCTGAAGGCAGCATAGAAGTAAGGGTGGTAATACTGCAACCCCCCCCCCCCTAAAATAACCTTGTGACCCCCCTTCAACTCCCTTTTGGGTCAAGACCGCCAATTTGAGAAACGCTGGTCTCCCTTGTGAAATCTGTAAAAAGGTAAAAATACACAAAAGACCATATTTTATGGGGGGGAGACCAGATTTCATAGTCCGTGGTGCATTTTTCATGGCCATGAATTTGGTAGGGCCCTACTCATTCCTGATCTGACTGGATTGGAAAGACAGCCGTAGAGGTAAAAGTCTATTACCAACTTGCTGCACCATCTACTTCCCACTTCTGTGATCCCAGCCATGATAAAGTTATGCTACACAGAGGAAAAGTTTCTTGGGAAGAGACCTCTTCCTTAGTTGTTATTAATATACAGTCTTAAAATGCAAATAACATTTATGTGACCAAGTGCTATTGATTATCATCTTAGTTTACTCAGACAAAGTCTGCAGTGTCATGGCTTAAACTGCATAAACAATTGGACCTCTCTGAACCTAACCCAAACCTTCACAGACCTGGCCTCCAACCTAATCATGTCTTTCCATATTCTCTTTCTAATTTGCTGTTGATAAAGAAACAAGGCTTGTGGCCTAGAAACTTAACTTTCTCTTCTAGTAGGGAACTTGAAAAAGCTAGCCAGGTAATATTACTATTTTCATGGTAGCTCCTAGGGGCCTTAGGACCCTCATTGTGCTAGGGACTGTAAAGACATAACTAAGAGGTGGCTCCTGCCCTCAAGAGCCGTGTAAGCAAGGTGTCTTACTGCAAATGAAGACTTAAGCAAATATTCCTGGTGCTTTTGTGAACTAAGGGACTTTACATCCACTTATAGCCTGCAATTGCTATTGAAGAATGTCAATCAGTGGACACAAAGAGCTAATTAGACTTGCCAGTCTTGTCACAATCTGCCTAGATGGATGAGCAAGAGGCGAAGCGGGACAGAAGAGGAAGTAGACTGAAAAACTACCAGATGAACCATATCTGATGGGAGTTTTTTATGCTCTCTCTTGGCTTGTCTGTTTTTCTTCAGCCCAAAATGAATCATCCTAACTGTGGAAAATGCTTTGAATGGAGGAGATTTGCTCTAATTAAGATACCAAACTGCATGGGTGTTTTTAGTTTCCTTTAGAAAGCAAAAGAATCCAGGCTTTAAGATTCACGTAAGTTGTGGTTAGCATCAATTCAAAGCTACACTGGGAGCCAGTTAGGCTGCGTGTTAACTAAAAAACAATCATCATGCAAGGACCTGTCATTCTGATTGCAAGATAAACTCTCTCACCCAATTCTAATGATCAGGTTTGCAGTATTGCCAACCCCAAATCATGACTGGCTTAAAAATCATCAGAGTTAAAACACAAGCTTTTCACTGCAACCACGAAGACTAGAAATTTACTTTTTAAACAAAATTAAAGTTGGGGGTCTCATGTAGTCACATGACTCCAGTAGCTGGGGTTTTAGGAAAAAACACCAAACATTGTGAGACTTGCAATAAAATGGTGAATCTTGGCAACTTGGGGACAGATCCTGGCATGTTATTTCCTTTCTAGACTCCACGGTTGCCTGTCCCTCATATGGAAGTTGGATCAGGTCCCTATATGGAGGATAGTTCCCACTAGCGACATTTGCTGCTTCTGCAATCACATGAAACTAGCAGCAGAAGGGCATCTGCTTTGAGCACCATTCCTTTCTGCTCTTTTCCTATTACACAAGACTTACCACCAGCATCCTGGCCTTCTCCATCCTCCCACAATAAGGGGAGAGTACCTTTTGGCCCTAGTAGCCCACAAACTAAAGAAAAAAATGTAAACACTTAAAAACTTTTCCCACACCAGGTATCAAAGCTGACCAACTAAAACCACATCTAATGCCCTTCTGCCCAGCCCCCAGCTCTGCCTTGCTTTGCCCTGTGGGTACCCCTCCCCACAAACACTAATATGTTTAATGCTTTTATCCCAGTACCACATCAGGGTATGGTGTTGTGCACAGGCCTGTACTCTAAGTTGTCCAAGGTAACAAAAGTCCAACTCAGCCTCTTACATACAATTGTTTATAAAAGTCAGCCACAGTTAAAGACAGCCAGCCTGAATTAGTCCAAACAGAAAGGTCTGCAGATACCACCCAAGGACTGTGATGAGATTATCTGTGGTAAACAAAAGGAGGGTGGAATTGGAAATGGGCCAAAATTGGTGTGTTGGAAATGAGGCCTAACGGTGGATGAAATAATGAGGGGATACGCCATTCTACCCACCACCCCCTTTTAAGGGCCTTACAAAAAAGAGACTTTGGAGAGAATTGTGATGCCAGGAGCAGGATGGTTGGACTGGAAGGAATGAGTTTTACCATCATGGCAGTCACCATCTCCTGGGACCCTGGGCAGAGGTGTCATTTCAGATAAATCTGGGGGTTGGGGCGAAGCTGCATCAGCATAAAACATTTTATGTGAATAAATTGTAACCTGCAGAGTCTCCTCCACCCACCCACCCCAACCTCCCCCACAAAAGTGGAAGATATAATGGAGCATGCAGACTTATTAACAGTCTGGGAGGAGACAACTGCCCCCCCTTGCTTCATAGCAAATGACGCCCCAACCTCAGAATCCATTGTAACACCATTGGGCCTTTATCGTCCTGAACTGAAAAGGCGTTCTGGTTAGACTGGGCCAGAGAGTGAGACCCAGATGACACAGTCACCTCCACCAGTTTTGGCTAAGTCCTGAACAACACCTGGAATGTGAGACTTGGGTTCCTGCCAGCCCCCCTCCCTCATGTGTCCTTTTCCTTCCCCACCTTATTCCTTCTATCATAGAATCATAGAATATCAGGGTTGGAAGGGACCTCAGGAGGTCATCTAGTCCAACCCCCTGCTCAAAGCAGGACACTGTTTATGAGGAGTCTGGCTTAGCCAGCCAAGAAAACTGCATCTTTTGCAACACTCCTGTGAGCCCATGACCAGAGAGGCAGCTAAAAGCACCACATTTGACAGCCTGATGCAAGTTTGCCAGATCTTGGGGTGTCTGAAAAGACAATACGCTGTACCCAGGCTTCTCCACCCTGAGGTTACAATTTAGAACTTCAAGTCAGCTCCAAAGGTGGAAGCTGCATTTTCTATCTTTAGTGTTCTTTTCTCTCCCCTGCGCAGGCGCTGGCTTCCTCCTTTCCCCAGGGGTGCTGAACCCCCGCTCAGCCCCAGGCCCCACCCCCACTCCACCCCTTCCCCCAAGTTCAAGCTCCCACCCTGCCTCTTCCCACCCCTGCTCCGCCCCCACCCCTTCCCACTCAGTTCTGTCCCCTCCACCAAGCATGCCCCGTCCCGGCTCCTCCCTCTCCCCCCAGGGCCTCCTGCACACTGCTGAACAGCTGATCGCGGAGGGCAGAAGGCCCTGGGAGGGAGCAGGAGGAGTTGATTGGTGGGACCGCCAACAGGCGGGAGGCCCTTGGGGGAGGGAGAGAGGAAGGAGCTGGCTGCCGGTGAGTGCTGAGCACCCACGGAGTCGGCGTCTATACTCCCCGGCCTTTTGTGTGCGTTTGTCTTCAAGGAAGCAGGATCAGACTTAACAACAGCTCCAGCCTATCGCAATTAACTTTTTCTCTTTTCCTTCCAGAAAGGATCGTTATTACCACCTTTAGCACCCTTGAACATACTGTCAAATGGTGGTTTCCTTATATACAGTGGATACAACTACAGGGAAAGCCAATAAAGGATGCTGTTAAAATGAAAGCCTGACTTAATTTTTTACATTTAAAATGCTTTTGCTGTTTTTCCCTCTTATTCTGTATATGTAATGAGGTAATAAAGATTTTAATGAAGTATTCACCATGGAACTAACAGGCCAAGATTGATGTACTCAAAACCCCGAACCTTGTTTAACTGTTTAGTGCTGTACAGTGACAGGGTCCATGTTAACACCTTTGACTCTCTGAGCCCATTTGCTCCACCAAAATTAACTCAACAGTGGCAACTGAGCTTTGTCCCTGTATGTGTTGCTAACAATAACCCCAGTGCCCCTATGAAATTGGGATATCCGCTCCTTTACCCTGGCCCTGGCTAGGCTCCATCACAAATTCTTCCATCAACTTGTACTTAACTCCCTCGGCAAACATACACACCACTTCTGGAGACATTGACTATTCCCCCAATCAGTATAAAAGGTGTTGGGGCAAGATGTGAGGAATAAGACTCTACACCAACTCTTGGGCTGTGCATCCAGCAGTGGGCTACAAAGGGCTACATTTGCTTGGAATAAGCATTCATCTCTTTGGGGAAGGGGCTAGGTAGAAAGAACCATTAGCATGCTAGCACTGTGGTTTGGAGGTAGAACAGGGGCTGGCCTTGTAGTAGAAATCTGCTTGTTCTCACTGCAGTTCCATAATAGTTGCAGGGAGAACAGCAAACATGGAATTACCATGTCAGATTACAGCTATATTCAGAACACACACAGCACTTCACATTCATTAATTTTACAATGCTGGGTAAAAGCATCGTTACCCCTGTTTTACAGATAGGGAACCCAGGGCAAAGTGAGATTAAGTGGCGTGGTGGTCACAGAACTAAGTGATGACACAAGCAGGACTAGAACTCAGCTCCCTGGCCAGTATCCATTTCACTGGACCACTCTGTGGCACATTTAGCTGGAAGGCAAGAAGAATGGCAGCCGGTATCAAGTGGAGTGCCCCAAGCGCCGGTCCTCAGGCCGGTTTTGTTCAATATCTTCATTAATGATCTGGAGGATGGTGTGGATTGCACCCTCAGCAAGTTTGCAGATGACACTAAACTGGGAGGAGAGGTAGATATGCTGGAGGGTAGGGATAGGATACAGAGGGACCAAGACAAATTAGAGGATTGGGCCAAAAGAAATCTGATGAGGCCAAATGGCCCAACTTGATTATCATGCACATTGTGTAAAGAGTTGTCACTTTGGATGGGCTATCACCAGCAGGAGAGTGAATTTGTGTGGGGGGGTGGAGGGTGAGAAAACCTGGATTTGTGCTGGAAATGGCCCAACCTGATGATCACTTTAGATAAGCTATTACCAGCAGGACAGTGGGCTGGGAGGAGGTATTGTTTCATATTCTCTGTGTGTATATAAAGTCTGCTGCAGTTTCCACGGTATGCTTCCGATGAAGTGAGCTGTAGCTCACGAAAGCTCATGCTCAAATAAATTGGTTAGTCTCTAAGGTGCCACAAGTACTCCTTTTCTTTAATGCTTATATCACACTTCCCATTTTCAAAGCATTGTAAGATATTAATCAGTCCCCAGAACACCCCCTGAGGAAGGTGGTGAGTGTTGTTATTCCCATTTACAGATGGGGAAACTGCAGTGCAGAATGATTTAGGGACTCACTCTGGACTTCATATTAAGCCAGAAAAAGTGAACTCTTAAGGTGCTCAGGTACCATGCTGATGCATCTGATCTAAAAATTTAGAGATGAAAGATACTAGCTGGAATCACAGGTTCAAATCACACTATTATCAATTTGGTCTCTCACTTTTCCGCGGTATCATGGGTAAAGGTCCAATCTTAAAAACCTTTATTGTTTAGCCCAGACTTGAAGAAGAGCTCTGTGGAACTTGAAAGCTTGTCTCTTTCACCAATAGAAGTTGGTCCAATAAAAGTTATTTACCTGACTCACCTTGTCTCCCCCATTTATTCAGGTGAGCAGTCCCTTTGAAATCAACTGGAGTAGTCACATGGGTGAGAGTATGCCGGATCAGGCCCAAACAGAGAACCTGGCAGCTTTACTGGGTGTGATGTTTTCTTGGGAGACTTTGAAAACTGAGAACCTATCAGCTTTGCACAAACAGTAAAGATCTTTCAGAGTAACAGCCGTGTTAGTCTGTATTCGCAAAAAGAAAAGGAGTACTTGTGGCACCTTAGAGACAAATCAATTTATTTGAGCATAAGCTTTCGTGAGCTACTCACTTGAGCAGTAGCTCACGAAAGCTTATGCTCAAATAAATTGGTTAGCCTCTAAGGTGCCACAAGTACTCCTTTTCTTTTTAGTAAAGATCTTGTATCTCACCTTCCAAGAATGGGTGGGGTGGGATCTACTGCCCTTAGCCAAATTCAACCTCTCTCCCACTACAAGCCAGTTGCTTTATTGCATTTCAGTGGTGATTGATTATAGAGATTAGATAAATAGTAAAGCTCTTGGGGATAAATGGTGCTCTATAAATGTAAAACATAATTAAGAAAGTAAGGCCATTGTTTTCTGATTTGAATTTAAAACACACTAATTTATTTATAGCTGGTTTTAATTAAAGTGAATTTAAATCTTCATACCTTCAGCTGTTAATTAAAACCCTGACTCAGAGATTTTGGAGGAGGCAGGGATATCGCAGATTATGGTTTGAACAGTATAAAATACCAAGACTCCTGGCTCTCTTTTGTAATATCTATTTTTCCATTGCTATGACAGCACAGTTCTTGAAACACTATTTAATATTTTGGGATATCAAGGTTTTTAACTATTGTAGAGTAGAGACATGGTGATCATTAAATTGAAATTGAATATTCAGGCTGATCTAAAAGTAAACATCAGTTCAACTGCAATTAGGAGCCTAAGTGACCTAAGAGCACAAGTCCTATTGAAAGTCAGTAGGACTTATATATCTAAGTGATTTAGGTGCTTTTGAAAAATCTCACCCCGTACTGACTAGGACACTCACTTGTGTCAGCCAGGTCTTCTGTTCTATACCTCAGGAAACAAGCTTATCTTTAGCTTTAAACCATCTATCATCTATTATTTTATATTACATGGACTAGCCCTTGAAAGCAATATGATGTTTAATTACATGTGGGGAAAACTGGCTCACAAATTTGAAATAGTTTTCTGAATGCAGTATTACTTTAAGCTTTTTTTTTTCTTTTTTTCAGATTATTCACAAATAGAGATGGAAATAGGGTGGGGAAATAGTCAGAGAATATTCGTTCAGATTTCAAAGTGAATTTCAATTGACTTTTTCCCTTCCATAAACATTTCATCCCATGACAATTAAAAAGACAGACACTGGAAGGACAGTCTGATCCCTTCTGCTCAGGATGAGCACATTGGCAGTGCAGGCTGGGGAAACCTTGTCTTGCTATATCTCTTCTGGGGACAGAGGACTGGAGTCTCTGAAGACTTGATGCAAAGCCCACTGAGATCACTGAATCATAGAATCATAGAATATCAGGGTTGGAAGGGACTTCAGGAGGTCATCTAGTCCAACCCCCTGCTCAAAGCAGGACCAATCCCCAACTAAATCATCCAAGCCAGGGCTCTGTCAAGCCTGACCTTAAAAACCTCTAAGGAAGGAGATTCTACCACCTCCCTAGGTAACGCATTCCAGTGTTTCACCACCCTCCTAGTGAAAAAGTTTTTCCTAATATCCAACCTAAACCTCCCGCACTGCAACTTGAGACCTTGTCCTGTCTCCTTGTCCTGTCCTCTTCTACCACTGAGAATAGTCTAGAACCATCCTCTTTGGAACCACCTCTCAGGTAGTTGAAAGCAGCTATCAAATCCCCCCTCATTCTTCTCTTCTGCAGACTAAACAATCCCAGTTCCCTCAGCCTCTCCTCATAAATCATGTGTTCCAGTCCCCTAATCATTTTTGTTGCCCTTCGCTGGACTCTCTCCAATTTATCCACATCCTTCTTGTAGTGCGGGGCCCAAAACTGGACACAGTACTCCAGATGAGGCCTCACCAATGTCGAATAGAGGGGAACGATCACGTCCCTCGATCTGCTGGCTATGCCCCTACTTATACATCCCAAAATGCCATTGGCCTTCTTGGCAACAAGGACACACTGTTGACTCATATCCAGCTTCTCATAGACTGTCACACCTAGGTCCTTTTCCGCAGAACTGCTGCATAGCCATTCGGTCCCTAGTCTGTAGCGGTGCATTGGGTTCTTCCATCCTAAGTGCAGGACCCTGCACTTATCCTTGTTGAACCTCATCAGATTTCTTTTGGCCCAATCCTCCAATTTGTCTAGGTCCCTCTATATCCTATCCCTGCCCTCCAGCGTATCTACCACTCCTCCTAGTTTAGTATCATCCGCAAATTTGCTGAGAGTGCAATCCACACCATCCTCCAGATCATTTATGAAGATATTGAACAAAACCGGCCCCAGGACCGACCCTTGGGGCACTCCACTTGATACCGGCTGCCAACTAGACATGGAGCCATTGATCACTACCTGTTGAGCCCGACAATCTAGCCAACTTTCTACCCACCTTATAGTGCATTCATCCAGCCCATACTTCTTTAATTTGCTGACAAGAATACTGTGGGAGACCGTGTTAAAAGCTTTGCTAAAGTCAAGAAACAATACATCCACTGCTTTCCCTTCATCCGCAGAACAAGTAATCTCATCATAGAAGGCGATTAGATTAGTCAGGCATGACCTTCCCTTGGTGAATCCATGCTGACTGTTCCTGATCACTTTCCTCTCGTGTAAGTGCTTCAGGATTGATTTCTTGAGGACCTGCTCCATGATTTTTCCGGGGACTGAGGTGAGATTGACTGGCCTGTAGTTCCCAGGATCCTCCTTCTTCCCTTTTTTAAAGATTGGCACTACATTAGCCTTTTTCCAGTCATCCGGGACTTCCCCCGTTCACCATGAGTTTTCAAAGATAATGGCCAATGGCTCTGCAATCACAGCTGCCAATTGCTTTAGCATTCTCAGATGCAACGCGTCCAGTCCCATGGACTTGTGCACGTCCAGCTTTTCTAAATAGTCCCTAACCACTTCTTTCTCCATAGAGGGCTGGCCACCTACTCCCCATGCTGTGATGCCCAGCGCAGCAGTCTGGGAGCTGACCTTGTTCGTGAAGACAGAGGCAAAAAAAGCATTGAGTACATTAGCTTTTTCCACATCCTCTGTCACTAGGTTGCCTCCCTCATTCAGTAAGGGGCCCACACTTTCCTTGGCTTTCTTCTTGTTGCCAACATACCTGAAGAAACCCTTCTTATTATCTTAACATCTCTTGCTAGCTGCAGCTCCAGGTGTGATTTGGCCCTCCTGATTTCATTCCTACATGCCCGAGCAATATTTTTATACTCTTTTATACTCATTGCAAAGACTCCCATTGATGTCTATGTGCCTTGGATCAGGCCATCAGTCTGGTACTTTACTCAAGTACCACATTCAAGATAATCATTTGTAAATTCTTTGATGTCTTATTTTGAATTCATTTTGTGCATATTTCATAGTCTGTGTCATTTCCCAGCTGATGGGGGGCTGGATTCTGCTGTCATTAAAGTCATTAGCAAAGCTCCCACTGACTTTAATAACAGCAGGATTTAGGCCTTAGCCAAGAAATGTCTCTTCTCTTTGTCCTATTTACTGATGCAGGACTGGCTATTTTTTCACTGAGGGCGGAGTCTGAAAAGAGGGTGAGAGTCTGAAGGGAGAGAGCATGTTTCTCTTGGTGCCAGTCTGGGGCATGCTGACTGCACGTCAGCTTTTGGATCATGTAATCATTCCTATCACTTTGGGAGACCACTGTTATTTCTTCCTTTGGGTTCTTACAACTCAGCAGGAATTCAAAGTGAGCTAATTCACCACAATAGGGCATTTGTATATAAAAAACAAAACAAAACCCCTTAATGCTTTTCCAGTCATAAGACTTTTAATCTTCTATGAGGTGCTTTGCGTTAGTCCTGGTGATCAGAATTATTTTATAATACAGGTGCAGAAAATGGCTCTAAACATCCCCGGTCTGGTAGCCACAATTGTGTTCTATGTGATAATGTTGGCAACTGGGATTTGGGCTGCTTGGAAAACCAAAAAGGAGGAGAAGAATGCAAACCGAAGCGAGGTTGCCATGGTGGGAGGCAGAAATATGAACATTTTTGTGGGATTATTCACCACAACTGGTGAGTTTGTTTCTTAATATTAATTCCTGTTCTAGGTTTTAATCTATATTTTAGACCAATAAGAGTTTCTTAAATTCTGTTGTGTATTCTCCTTATATAATTAACCTAAGGAGCTGTCCTCTACATGTATTTAGTTTCAGTTTTTTTGGCTATAGGAATTGTTCTTCTATGCACCTACTTTAATTTTATTGGCGCTCTTAGTTTGCTCTTTTTTCCAGTAGCACAGGATACTGTGTCAGAAATCCTCCCCCTTCTCTCTCTTATACCCTGGAGGTATTGTCGTCTAGGGGTTAGGGTCACGGGACTAAGTATCATGGTTTCTGTTCTCAACTCCATAACAGACAGTATTTTAGCTACCTCTGTGAAGTGTTTTGACATCTTCAGAAGAAAGCTGCTGTGTAAATGAGGAGTGGTGGTATACAAAATACAAGTGTCTGTCTGCCACTGAAACACATACAGGCTTCACCATCCCAACCTGTTGAAAATTCTACTCAGTTCTTACACATAAGTGTAATAAAATAAGTTGGGCCCTCTATTCACTAGGAGAATTGACAAATAAGATTGAATATCAGGCAGAATGTCTTCCCATTGAGACTGTGGAACAGCTTCCCAAGTAGAGTGGACCGGATCCCATTGGCGAATACAGATGTTCAAAACTGGACAAAGCCTTAGAAAATAAACTGAAGGGAACATTGCATAGCAGGAACATTGACTATGGCCTGATCCTGCAAGACACTGAGGGGGAGATTTCCAAAGGCACAAAGGGGAGTTAGGCGCCCAACAGTGAACGCCTTGGAAATCTCCCCCAAGCACCTCCTGCAAAGTGTCAAGACTCCTCAGTGCCCATTGCAGTCAATGAAAGGCATCAGTCATTCATACATTTGAGCCTTAAATGACTTAACAGGGTCTTTTCCACCTCTCTGATTGGTTAATAGAACTTAAGCAAATTGATCCAACCATACTTGGAGCAAGTAAACAGAAGGTTCAATAGAACCACCCAGAGGCAGATTTAAAAAAGAGTTACCTGAACTAGGGATAGGAAGGAACCAATTAAAATTTTACTCCCTTGTTTGCCTACCAAGTAGGATGAAAGGAAATGGGAATCCATCTTGCGGGCAGCATTTAAACCTGATTCAAAGTACTACTTCACTGGATAGCACTTCTATAGGGCATTGAAATATTTTGAAGAACTGAAACTGGAAGTTCAGAAATTCAGTGGTCAGGATGTTCTATTCCATTATTTTCACATTTCTTTATCCTGTCCATCACTACTATCAGACTACCTCATCCCTGTTCAGATATAGGGTATCCTAAAATGAGATTTGGCCTCATAACCACATCAGAGACATGAGTGTATAAATGTGTGTATGGTAGCTGTGAGGTTTGTGCCAGTGAGTAGGTACTGTTAGGGTACTTAAATTTTCATATCCTTGCTTCTATGGGTTGTGAGAGTTATGTTGCTGTGTAGAAACCTTACCTGTTTCATCACAAAGTTTTTTGTGTATAATGTTTAAGCATCTGATGTTGTGCCTACATTCAGATTATTTGGTGCCTCCTGCTGGGAGAATGTGGGGAGGTGGAGCTGCGTCTGTAGCTGCCAAGACAGGTAAGGCAAGGATCTGTGCTGGGGGACTGGGATCCCTCACAGCTGTGTGAGTGGTCTGACAACAGAATTTAGACAACCTTCTATGATGGCAATTGCTGATGATTTCAGATATTTAATAAATGATCGGCACTCTCATAGCTGCTTTGTTTCTCAACAAAAGCCTTTATTTTTCAGTCATTTTTTGCTCTTATTCATTAAAGAAATAGTTGGACAATATGCCAAAGTTCTCAGACATGGGTTCCTCAAGGTAGGCATTTAAATTCATATTTAGATACCTAAATAGAAGTGGCCTGATTTTCAGAGGTGCTTAGTGTCATGGTTACTGAACTAATTGCATGTGATACACCTCCTGGTCTCTCCAAGTACACCTTCTAGGTCTGAGAAAGAAGTAATGGCCGTAGTGTGGAAACATGGGTTCTCCCACTCTCAGACCAGGTGCTGGGCTGCAGTTCCTGGTGTATCAGCCACAATCACCAGAGCAGGTCTGACTGCTCAGACTCTGCAGTTCTATTCCTTCTGGGACGAATTAAAGTTGCCAACATTGTATTTCAAAAATAAGGGACTGTTTTCTTAGCACCCATGCCCCACCCTCCTCCCATTATTATCATCATTATTATCTTCATGGTTATTATTAATAATAATGGTAATAATAAGCAGTATTCACCTACATTCACCAGGGGTATTTCTTGCTGCTCTTTGTAGCACTCAGCAACTCCCGATCTTGTTGTGCAGAGATGAAGAAATAAAGGACTGTTGGCAACCCTATGAGGCAATGACAGTGGTAATGACAGTGGTAATGCAGAGGTCTTCCAGGGGTACATCAACTCATCTAGAGAAATGTTTCTCAACCCGGGGGTTGCAAACCCTAGGGGGGCGGGTGTCACAGGATAGCTTTAAGGGGGTTGCAAGTGCAGGGCTGACATTAGGGGGGCAAGCAGGACAATTGCCTGGGGCCCCAAGCCACAGGGGGCCCGGCGAAGCTAAGTTACATGCTTCAGCCCCGGCTGGCAGGGCTCGGGCTTCAGACTCCTGAAAGGGGTACGCTAGTCTGGAAAGACTGAGAAGCACTGATTTAGAACAAAAGTCCTTCAGAGAAAACATCTCTTAAAATACAACAGAGCGTACTGCAAGTTCTAGTTCTTCCCTAAGGTTGATGATTCCCTGGAGATGTGAGGCCCAATTCCTTCAGTCTCCTCCAAAGGGCCCGTCTCGGCCAGCCTGTCTGCCGACAAGTGAACCCTCTGCCCATCCCCAGCGCTTTTGATCCCTAGTTCCCAGCCTGGCAAAACAAGGTTTACAGTGGTTTGGGATCACAACAGTGGTGAATTTTCAGCAAGTGCGAATAGCAGGGTTTAGAAGAGCGAACTCATCACTAGAGTGCCCCCTCATGGTTGGATGTACCAGCTCTCTCCTTATCTAATGCTCCCCACCAACACTTACTCTGGTCCTACAGCAGTCTGCCTCTTCTCACAACTCGGCCCTCATGCCAGTCCCACCCCTTCCAGAGTAATAAAGTCCAATAAACAACTGTCCAATGTCCTTACAAAAGGTCTTCAGCCCTGACTCCGGGCCCCATGGCCCACACACCCTTCTCTCAGGGCTCTTAGTCACCCGTATCCCTTTCTCAGGAGTTTCACACCACCTTATCAGGGGCTGATAGGGGAACCCAGGGCCGCCCTCTACACTGGTCTCCAGTCCAGGGACCCTAGGACAGGGAGTCAAGGTTCACTCTGCCAGACTTCTTGCTGCTGCTGACTCTTTGGACTTCAAGAAGGCTTGCCTGTCAGCAGGCCTCTCCCACAGCCTCTCTAAGTTCACCCTTCTCTCAGGCCTCCCCTTGGAATCCCACAACAAAATCCATAACTAAATGTAAATCCACTTCTGCCCTCCGCAGGCTTCATGTTTCTCATGTCCTCTTTGATCATCAGACGAACATGTCTCAGGGCTCTCTCCCTGGAAGTCCAGATCCTGCCCTATTATCAGGGCTCTTCACCAGAACTTGCTTCACCCCAGTAGCTGCTCTGTGTCTAACCTAACCTCCCACAAGACTTCTCAGGAGATGATCTCAGGACCCAGCTTTCCCCCTGGGCTTTCTCATCACAACCTCTCTTGTCCCAGAGAGTGACTACAAAGTTCTCCCTGCATCTAGGGTTGCTAACAGTCCTTCATTTCTTCATCTCTCTGCAACAAGCTCAGGAGCTGATGAGTGCTGCAAAAAAGCAGCAAGAAATAACCCCTGACAAATGTAGGTGCGTACTGTTTATTGTCAATAATAATATCAGGAGGAGAGGGTAGGGCAGGGGTACTAAGAAAACAGTCCCTTATTTTTGAAACACAATGTTGACAACCAGAGCTACAGCCCCCTCCACTTGGAAGGTTCCCTTTTTTATAGCCACTGCTCAGCTCTTTCACCAGCAGGGCTTCATCATTAATTAAACCTGGCCCACCCTTCTGGTGCAGCCAGCGAGCATAATTGGCCGCTCAGGCGCACATTAACCCTTTCATTGCCAGTGTGGTGTACATAATCACATCACACAGAGAAAGCAAGTATTGTAGTAGAAAAAAAGCCAACAGAAAAAAATATCTTGTCGTCTTTTCAGGAAAGAATAGGAAAAAACAGGGAAGATTGAGTTCTGAGCAACTCAGGAAAAGTCAGTTGGTGCAGTAATGCAGGGAGCAACAGATAATCTCTCAAGAGCAGACAAAGACCAGCTGGTTTGCCTACTGTACTCTGAGGACCAGAGAAAGACTGATATCCCACGACTGGGAGGGGACTCAAGAGGTGCACCCAGATTGCTGGAGGCTGAGGGAGAGGGAGACCAGAACAGCCCCACAGGACTGGAAGATCTTGGAAACAACCTCCTAGAGGATGGGCAGAAGCAGCAAGTTAGCACCATCTAGGCCAAGCTCTCCTCTTCATCAGCAGCTGGCATTGAAAAGGCTGCAGGTTGAGGAGTTAAAGCTGCAGCTCAAAGAGACAAGTTGCACTTTGAGGCCAAGCAACTTGCAAACTGGGAGCAGCAATGGCAACATGAACAGGAAGAGAAAGTACAGACTGAAAAGGAGCATCAGCATGAACTTGAAATGGAGAAAATGCTCCAGTTGCACCCGGATACTGGAGGTGGGGGCAGACCTCAGATACCAGGGTTCTCAGACTGCATCCTTTCTAAACTGCTGCCTAGCCTCACGATAGGAGGGGGCTGACATGGGTGTGTTATTAAATGCTTTTGAGATGAATTGTGAGTTACATCAGATAGCCACCTCACAAGCACAAACTTTCAAAAGTGCTGGGGGGTGCTTGACCCCCCTGCTCTGCCCTTTCCCCCAAGGCCCCACCTCCACCCCGCCTCTTCTTGCACCCACCCCACCTCTTCCCAACCAGTTCCACCCCTTCCCCTGAGCACGCTCCGTCCTTGCTCCTCCCCCATCCTCCCCAGAGCCTCCTGAATGCTGTAAAACAGCTGATCACGGTGGGCGGGAGGTGCAGGAAGGGAGGGGGAGGCACTGATCCACCGGGCCTGCTGGTGGGCAGGAGGCACTGGAGGGTGGAGTGGAGCTGATGGGGGGCTACCGATGGGTGCTCACCACCCACCATTTTTCCCCATGGGTGCTCCAGTCCCGGAACACCCACGGAGTCAGTGCCTATGGTCACCCATACTTATGGGGAAAGCCCTGTAACCTCTTCTGCAAAAGTTAAACTGACACCCAAATCACTGTAAAAGCTTGAGAAGGTTCAGGGAACCTGACAGTGGTTATACTGCAGGATATGCCTTTTGATCTATTGCTGGGAAATGATGTAACTGGTTTGAACCCAGAAGGCTCAGATGCAAACCCCAATACTGGTAGGGATACTGAGGCATGGCTGAAAGGTGCTGTGAAGACAAACTCAGGTGAGAGAAGGGAAACCAAGGCAGCTAAGGATCATTATCAAAGCTATGGCACCCATCAGAAAGAGGGAAAAGCAGAAAGATAAGTGTAAAATCATTGCTTGGGAGAATGCAGAGGCTGCAACAGCTAAGAAATAGCCTGATTTTCAGAGGCACTGAGCTCCCACAGTTCCTACTGAAGCCAACCAGGCACCAGAAAAGCCATTTGCCTGCACCACCAGAGTTGGACGGGATGGAAAAATACTGCTTACTGTCATTTACATGCTGAAAGCACCTCAATCCTTTCCTCCTCACTAATCTTCCTAATGGTCCCATACAGGTTAAATAAGAGCAGCAACTGCAGAACCATGCATCACATCAGTGGCCAGCATGAATTACTTATCAAAGAACGGTTTCAGAGTAGCAGCCGTGTTAGTCTGTATTTGCAAAAAGAAAAGGAGTACTTGTGGCACCTTAGAGACTAACCAATTTATTTGCGCATAAGCTTTCGTGAGCTACAGCTCACTTCATCGGATGCATACAGTGTAACCTTTCTAGAAGCTAAGTAGTTCCTAAGTGTCTTGCTGAATAGGGATAGACTTAAGTACTTGTGTTTAAGTGCTTTGCTGAACTGAGTGATAGGCACTCAGCATCTCTGAAAACCAGCCAACTTATTTAGGTGACTAGCTTTAGTGGCCCACACTTTGAAAATTCACTCTGTAACATTATATTCTTGAAGTTCTATCTTTGCTTCTGCTTCATATGTCTTATCTTCTAGCACACAATATGATGGTGGCTCTGAAGTAAAGGAAAACCATATGATTTCTTCTTTTTCTCAATTTCCTCCTGCTTTTCTTTTTTTCCAGCAACTTGGGTTGGAGGTGGCTACATCAATGGGACGTCTGAGATCGTGTACCTCCCTACACGAGGGCTGGCCTGGGTCCTGGCTCCAGTAGGATATGTTCTAGCTTTTATCATTGGTAAAAACAACAATTCGATTCTTAGACGTTTTCATTGCAAAGCAGTTTTAGCAACATGAAAATTTAGCCTTCTTGTTGTTCAGATGCCTGTATTCTGAGTTGTCCAACTCAACTGGGTTGCATAAAAGTGGTTATGAAAGTCAGCAAATGTTGGAGACAGACAGGCACAAACTGGATCGTTTACATTAAAATAACTGTTTAGGGGACTTCAAGGATCCTGTTAAACTCCTGGTTTGGCTTAACAACAAACTGAAAGATTCTAGAAATGGGAGAAAATTATTATCATTTAAATCACCAAAATGCATTTTGATTGGTTAATTTTAATGCAATGAGGTTGCTCCCCCTTCTTGGACACTGCTTATTTTGGGGATTGGTAGGGATGAACTGTACCATCGTGGCTGCCTCTCCCATCGTTTCCTGGGGTTACTCGCACACTGTAGGAACACCCACCTTTACCCTGTTCCTAGGGCTCACAGTATAACCCCACACTCTAGGGCACCCACCCTTACCCTTCCGTGGGCTCAAGGTGTAAACCTTACACTGTGTGGGTTTTCAGGGTGTTTTACCAGTGAAAGAGCCTCAGACAGTAATATCCTTAACCTCTATTTATTAACAATCATCAAAACAAAATGCACATGCTAAGCATACAATGCTCACCACTCCCAGTAATGCAGATGAGCTTTTTCTGCTGGCTAGTCAAGATCAGGTCATCCGGGGACTCCAGGTTCTGCACAATATGGTTGCCAGGGTGTTGAGGTCTGGCAGCTCTGATCTTGGGCTGTGTCCTGGAGTTGGTTCCCAAGAGTTTCCTTTTGGACCCCAGTTTATATAGTGAATGAAACTTGAGTTCTGCTTAGCTATACCTTAAGCAATCATTTTACTGAAGTATTACAAAATAATTCTTTGACCAATCCTAATACATTGTGAAACAATTCTCCACCCAAGTCATGTCCCACCACTTTAGTTGATTTACACCTTGCAAAATTAGTTACGTAACAGACGGAAACAATCAAAGAACCAGACAGAGACCATGCAGATAAACAACAGAGAAGTAGGGACTATCAAGGCAAAACAATAAAGTAGAGATTTCACAACCACAACTGTTGACACAGGATTCCTTGCCAGACAGAATGCTATTAAACAAAGTTTTCTTTAAACATCTTAAGATCTGTTTTTTTATCTGGTGATGGTGGCTACTATTAGGACAGGATATCATCCGTAACAGCCCAATATTATATTATTTTAATGTAATTTAGACAGAATGTGAGGATGTGACGTTCTGCTTCTTGGCTCATGGCTGCTGCTCTCCTATTGTGGCTGCAGAAAAAGGCCTCAGACCTTTCACTGGGGCCTCAGGATCTACCTTGATACTATTGGGCTGTCATCATCCTGATCCTGAAAGGCTACGAGAGCAGACTTGGCCACAGAAAGAACCAGATGAAATTACCACCTCCACCAGTTTAGTCTAAATCCTGACCACCACCACCTGGGTTTTGAGATTTGGGTTCCTGCCATCATCCATCTCCCTCATATGTTATTTTCCCTCTCTATCTTGTTTCTTCTCTGGACTATCTTTCTCATTCTACCTTCTGTCTAATAAGAGTCTGGCATAGCCAGCCAAAACAACTCTACCTTTTGAAACTGCTGTGAGCCTGTGATCAGAGGCAGCTTAACGCAACGGCTTTAGACAGCCTGACAGAGGTACAAGTTTGCCAGGTCTGAGTGACTGATAAGACCATGTGCTGGACCTGTGTTAGTCTACAAGGGAAGCTACTTGTGAAAGTCAGCATCAGAGACAGAAGCTGCATTTTTTCTCTTTGCTATTCTTGTCTCTCCCCTTTTGTGTGTTTGTCTTATACTTGGTTTCAGTGTTGTAACTGCTTTTCCTTCTTTTTCTATGTTTTTAATAAAAGATTTAAAAATGGTTAATGGTGGTTGTTATAGTGGAAACAAGCCAGCTAAACCTGAATATCTGAACTGCACATAACTATTTAATGTTGTAACACTGAACAAAGGTTTTATTAATATTTTATCCCTTATTGGGCCCCGACACTATCCTATCAGCACACCAGATACCAGAGTCCAAATCAGAATGTGAAGGTTCTACTCATTTGTGCCTGATCCCATTGAAGCCAATGGAAAGACTCTCATTGACTTCAATGAGTGTTGGATTAGACCCAGCAACCTATTACTTATGAAGCCCTAGCCTTGTTCCCCTCAACTCAGTGACAAAACTCCCATTGACTTCCAAGATGCAAGACCATCATCTTAAATGATTATTATTGAGGTCTTTGCTCAGTACGTACTCAGACACAGTCCTACTGAAGTCAATGGAAGCTTTCTGCAGGAAGGAATTCAAGACTTTGTCCGTTATCTGTTAGCATTTATATAGCATCGACAGCATGCTTGGCACTTCAGACAGAAAATAGGCCCCTTGCTCTGGGGAGCTTACACTGTAAATAGATGGCCATAACAGATGAAGGAAATGACAAAAGAGGGTGGAACAGCAAGGAGGATAAGCATTCATCTTTGTGATTCCAAGGTTGTCTTTGTTGTCCTCTAATAAGAGAAAGATTAGGGCTTGGTCCACACTACACAGTTAGGTCAATATAGCTATGGAAGTATCTTCACTTAAATTTGACTCGGAGGGAAGAGTGCCACCTACTGCATTTGGAATGAACAGTTTCTTCTACAATCCTGCACTCTCATGCAAAATTAACTCGGCCAGACAAAGATGGGTTTACACATGCTTGAGGGAGCTGAGCTAAGAAATGTGTCTCCCTGTGGTAGGTGGGAGCCTCTTGAGACTACGGTTTGGGTTGCTTGCGTTTCTGGAACTGACAGATTCCTTCCGCTGCTTGGGGTATACAAGATTTTGTCCAAAAAAAGAGTTCCTTTCCCCCTCTCTGAGGGCAGGGAGGAACAAAGTAAAGACAAGAAAAAGAAAAAATAGATGCTCAGTCTCTTGGGCAGTCTCTCTGCCACCCCTCTGGGTCCCAGGTTGTCTATAGGCTTTTAATCATCCTGATCAGAGTTAGAATCCTTCCTTAGATGCCCCGCCCCCTTTTGGTGACACCTGATCTGTACCTAGTCCAGGCAGTCTCAGGGCTGTCTCAGTCAGTGACTGTCTCCCTCTTCGCTGATCTATCTCTGTAATCAGCTGTCTGAGGCGCTGCAGCTTCCCCAGTTAACTGCCTCTTCCTGTGGCAGGCTTCCCCTTTCCCTCCCCCACCAGGCACAGGAAGCCTTGGAGGTGCATCTAGATAGTGCTGGCCAGGCCCAGTGGAGTTTGTTAGCTTCCTCCTTGATAGGGAAAGGGTGTGCCCCTTCACGTAGCCCACCACTCAAGTTGGGAGGGTGGTCTTGGGGAGGGCTGCCTCCATCTCCGACTTCCCGTGGGAAAAAAAAACCAGCGTTAGCATGGGCCTTTCCCACCTGGTGTTGCTCCCTGAAGCTATAGTGCTGTAGCACGAGGTACCATCACATCATACACAGTTCAAGTCTTTCATGCTATGGAACCAGCATAGAGGAGCGTGATTCATGATCAAGGAGAAGGGGCTGCCCAGCTGGTAATACCTCAGGAAATCCATGGCCTGCTTAATTGGTAGCACCTCTTTTTCAATAATCGAGTAGCCTTTTCTCTATGGAATAGCTTCAGTGCATCAGCTGGGAGGTGTAGTTAGTCCCTTGAGCTGAGCTGATTTCCCTAGGGAAATCCCATGCATCAGAAGAGGTTCAGGAGCTCTAGGTCTATCACTGTAGCTTTCACAGAGTGAAGGGGAACAGCCTCTGGGGAGCTGGTCACATAGTCAACAATTACTAATATGTACTGGTGCCCCGGTGTGATCCTTTCCGGGGCCCAACTATGTCCATTCCAATTCTTTCAAAGAGTCTCTCAATCAAGGGCAAAGGGACCACAGGGAGCCCCCTTGCTGCTGGACAACTGGCACTCAGGGCAGTAGGAACAGTATTCTCTCACCTCCTGACGCACGCCCAACCAGTAGAATCGAGCTAGTACTCATGATAGTGTTTTCTGTCTTCCCAGGTGTCCAGCACATGGGAGGTTGTGTTCAGACTGCAATACTGTCCAGTGATACTTGCGTGGCACCACCAGCTGGGCCCTTCTTACCCCATTCGTGGATCTCTTTCAACTCAGTAGAGGTGCTCTTTCTCATGGATACTGCTTGACCCTCTGATGCGCCATTATTTCCCCATTTATAAATGCCAATTGGTCATATGCCCGGACAATTGGCTATGTGTGTACGATTGTTTTTTTGTTCCTGAACAAAATTCCTGCCTTGTAGGAGCACTTCCTTTTCCAGGCTGATAACCTCTTCCTTCTCTGCAGAGATTGACAAGCATGTTGCTTGTGATGTTCCTTCTTCAGGGATCTTCCAATTCCCCAAGGTTTACCAGCCTTGAGAGTCACTCTGCAACAACTGAGCCAGAACCCCATTCACTGGGCAGACCCGTACAGTAACAACTTGCCAAAAAATGGCCACTCCTGGCCTTTGATTACAAAGTAGGCCAATGTCTGGGCCAGGACTACACTTATCACCTTAGAACATGTCCACAGGGTCAGCTGGGGTATGTTTTCACATTGCCATGTATACACTGTGAGTGAATTGACTTTCTGGGGGATGTCGTCGCCTACAGCGAGTCTTGGAACGCTTTTCCCTTGGATCATCACCAGCACTGTCAACTTGAGGGGTACCATTTTCTGCGTACTGGTTTCTGCAGTCCAGAACCCTGGTCATACTCACATTCATTAAGAGAGAATCCTTTCTTTATGTGTCCTGTCTGTCCAGAAGAGTAGCAAGTTACTCAGGGGCACTGACAGTATCTGTTCTAGCTGGAGGAGAACTTGGCCATGGAGTAGTGGCCGGCCTCTGTTCTGCAGGTCCTGCTTCAGCTGCTTGAGATGACTGATGGTCCCACTGGCAGTGTCATGTCCGAGCTAGACCCCCTTCTTCCTCACAGTCTTCCCATGGTCTAATGGCTGGTCTGATCATCCTGGAGGACATCTCCAAAGGTGGACCCCCCTCAGAGTGGGTGTTACCACTTTGAGGTTGCCTTCACAGGTTTCTTTCAAACCTATCCTGTGTGGCATCAAGGTCTTGATGAATTCTGTCTCTAACAGCCCTTTTGGCCTCTAGAAAACTCTCCATTAACCATACCATATCTGACAAAGTCCCAGGTCATGGTATAGTTCCCACTCTCTGCCTTTTGCTGCAACAGCCTTACAAATTATTTGATCACAATTCACTTAGCAACCTGAGCCCCAGACCTTTCTTCTGGGTGGAGCCGCTTCCAACAGTATTCCTTCAAACACTGAGCTACGACCCAGGGTCTAGCCCCCTTGGGAGGGGTTTCAGACCTAAAAGATAAACAGTGAGTTTCCCTGGAAATGTCCAAAAGGCCAGATTTTACCTGTTTATAGTCCTAGTCTGCTCCAAGTCCAAGTTATGGTAGGCTGCCTGTGCTGGTCTTGTCAAGTATAGAGCCAAAAATCAAAGACCACTGCTCAGGAAGCCACCAGGAAGCTCGTGCTACTTTCTCAAAGTTAATTTAAAAGGCCCCAGCGTCATTGTCTGGCCCCATCTTGTTTAGCTTCATGGGTATTGGTGGGGGTACCCACTATGGCACTACTGTGCCCTGCAGGGACTCCTGAGGAGTGCAGTGTTGACACAATACATTGTGTCATCTTCTTGTGGAACTCCTGCTGCTGGGTCATCAACTCCCTCAGCAGCAGTTGCCGTTGTGTTGTGTGAATTTGCTCATGGGTGGTCCATTGCTGCTGAGTTGCTTGCTGCTGCTGCATCTCCGCTAGCCACTTACACCACTGTTCAGGTTCCATCTTGTTCAGAGCTACTGAGCTCTGTCTCCCTCCATGGGCTTTTTCTCCCCTTGTATCAGGCATAAGCTGCCCGCATTCTCCAACACTTGTGGTGGATGGAGGCACCTTGAGTCCCCACAGTTTGGGTTGCTTCCATATCTAACACTCACATATGCCCTCTCAGTACCATTATGGAAAAATCTGAAAAAATTCTGGCTTGGACTCAACTTTAACCTCTTGCCATGTTTGGTTTCTACACACACACAAAACAATGGTTTTCTGTGCTTCTGAACTGGTCTTTCATCTCTATTCTGAAATAAAGTCAATGTAATGATGGGCTTAATGTAAAAACAACAACAACTTGGTAATAGTGACCCATGAATGTTTTGGGGAGGAGAGATGAAACCATCCAATTTTTGTTAGGAAGACATTAGTGAAAGGATATGATATAATGTATATCTCTTAGTTTTAATGCTGACGTCCTCCAGAAAGACAAGATAGTTCTGATCAGAATAATATTCTATGCATAATTAAATGCATAATTTAAATGTATTAAAAATCATAGAACTAACATGAAGTTTGCAGTCACCATATTGTTCACTCTGCCTGTTATATCTCTTTTCCTACCCTGTGTCTGTCTTGTCTATTTAGATTATAAGCTCTTTGGGGCTGGGACTGTCTATTACTCTGTGTCTGTACAGCTCCTAGCACAATGGGGCCCCATTCTTGTTTGGTTAGTAGGCAATAACTAAAATAATAATTTACCTTGTCATTTGATTTTTGCTAGGGGGCCTCTTCTTTGTAAAGCCAATGCGATCCAAAAGCTATGTAACAATGATGGATCCCCTCCAAGAAACCTATGGGAACACTATGGGAACCCTTCTCTTTCTTCCAACATTGATAGGAGATGTATTTTGGTTTGCAGCTATTCTTTCTGCTTTAGGTAAGTATATATCTTATACATATACTCATTCAGAATAGATTTCTTTTTCCCCTTGCATCATGTAGCTTTTTTTAAGAGTCAGTAGTTTCTGGATCCTTTTAGTATTTGTACAGATACACCGAAATTTGAACAGAACGCAACAGTTAAACCATAATAGGGAAATAAGCAATAAAAATCTGCACAAAAGAGCCATAGAACTATTATTATGTAACTGTAAGCTGTAAGATCTGAACTACTGCTGCAGAGTGTTTGGACTATTACTGCAGAGAGAACACTGTAGTGTTTTATTTAATATAAGGGTGGCGTTAGTTTTGTTCTAGTACTGGGCAGCGGTTCCCCGAGGGCAAGGGTGACAAACACCTAGATTTGCAGCCCTCATGTTTGCAAAGGAAACTTTCACCGTGACCTAGGACAGAGCAAACTTTTCCCATCAGAACAGTTTTTTGTCCAATGGAAAATTCGGTCTTCGACTAAACAAAAATGATCATGTACAGTGAGAGGAAGAGAGGCGGGGGAAAGGAGGACTGAGAAGGAAGAGTGACAAGGGGTAGAAATAGCAGCGATGTTAAAGGTAGAATATTCTCCCCCTCGGTGATGCTGAATGTGACGAAAAGGTACTGAACAAATTATAGAATCATAGAATATCAAGGTTGGAAGGGACCTCAGGAGGTCATCTAGTCCAACCCCCTGCTCAAAGCAAGACCAATCCCCAATTTTTGGCCCAGATCCCTAAACGGCCCCCTCAAGGACTGAACTCACAACCCTGGGTTTAGCAGGCCAATGCTCAAACCACTGAGCTATCCATTATGATAAAAACTAAACATTTAGCTACTACATACTTCCACCCTGTGCAAATCTGCCATTGACATCAGTGGGAAATCCATTTGTGCTAAATTTATACCCCCGCCACAGAGCATGATAATAAAGGGAAACTTGCTTTCTCCTCAAAGGGATAGCTAGTACACAACAGGAAGTCCATTACATGCAGCTGAACTCTTGACTGCTACAGCATGGGTGTGGCCTAAATGGCCTAAATCTGTCCATGGATCCACTGGTGAAGAAGCCCCATGAGGAAGAGAGAAGCAGAGACAAAATGACACAGAGAAGCAGAGAGGGAAAAGCAGAGAAACAGCCTTGCTCTTGACACACTGGCATTGGGAAAGAAAGGGGAAGCTGTGGCAGCAGTCTTAATAAGGAAGAGCAAATGAGGTAGGACAAAAGAGGGAAGAGAAGGACTGAAGGTGAGTGAAGGGAATAGAAAAGGAGAGTGACTGAGAGGGATATAAAGTGGAGAGCTAAAGAAATGAGCAGGGGGTCTTGAGGAGGAAATAGGAGAGACAGAGAAAGAGTGAAAGAGGTGGGCACAGGTACAGAAAGATGGGGAAGAGGAGAGACAGAAGATGAGAGCGACGGGGGAAGTGTCATAGAAGGAAATAGAAAAATTGAGATGTAGAAAAGAATGAAATTGGGAGATGGAAAAATGGAAATGGTTTGTTGGGGTGTTTTTTCTGAGAAGACTTGTAAAGAGAGTTTTCAGAGACAGGCAATGAGAATGATTAAAGGCCAGGCAAAACTTCCACGTGAAGAGAGAATAAAAAAATTGTTTACTCTAAATTGGAAGGGAATAAAATGGGACATGATAAAAACTAACAAAATAATGAGTGGCCCAAAGAAGGTAGTTTAAGAACTTCTATTTACTCTCTCCATAATACAGGAGGAATGGGATGTTCAATGAAATTGCAAGACAGCAAATGTAATACTGATAATAGGAAATACTTTTACACAATGCACATTTAAGCTGTGGTACGCATTGTCATAAGGTATCACTGAGGCCTAGAGTTTACCAGGATTCAGAAAACGATTAGATATTTATATGGATAACAAATATATCCACAGTTATGCTAGTAAAGAGTTTTTTTTTTCCAAAAAGAACAAAAGTTTGAATAGGATAAGCCTTCATACTGCAAAACATAAGCCAACCTCTAACTGGCAGTGTTAAGGAGCTTTCTGTATGAATAAGATATTCCACAATTTCAAGTTTTCTTCCTCCTTCCTCTGAAGCATCTGGTACTGGCCACTGTCAGAGGCAGAATACTGGGTAGGATGGAGCACTGTTCTGACATAGTTCGGCAATTCTTATGTTCCTAGGAAACCCAGACAGAATGACCAGATTTAGAGTCTGGAGATTTAGTTGGGGGAGGAGAAAGTATGTGGATGTTGTATGGTTGGGAAGTGTGGAATACTGAGGATATATTTTACCAAAGATTTTTTTTCTGGGTTAAAGCCACTTTACACATCACCTCTGACTGTTACACATTGGTAAGTGGGAGTAAGTGAGTTTGAAGGAGCCTAGAGAAGTTTAAGCTGGTGTAACTTACACACTGACAGAGCTGGAAGATAGGACTGTAGCAAGAAAACCAACTCACAGGAGGATGTAACTTAAGTATGCCTCTTCTTACTTTAACTCACACTTTTCCAGCATCTGGGTGAATAAATGACACCAATTTAGACCTCCTTAAACTCCTTTACACCATCTCAAGTGTCATTTCTGAAACTAGACCTTGGTGTTTCCACTCACAGAGGAATCGAAAGGGAAACTGAACATTGAGACTGGGGAAGATTAGTTGCGCTGCTTGAGGCTAGCCAAACTTTAGTACTGACCGAACTGTAAAAGTGGAATGTTCACAAAAACCATTTAAAATAAAGGCATTTAAAATAAAATTTTTAAAATTGTATAATAATTTCTGCCCATTAGATGCATGAAGATTCCTTGCATCAAGTTTTGGTTTATAACAGGAATATTGATTGCAGTTCTGTGACCGGTATGGTGCCAACTGTGTAATTATAGTGTGTGTATGTATGTATATATGTTTGTGTGTGTGTGTGAGTAGATATATATAAAGCTGTTTTTCTTTACAGGGGCTACAATGAGTGTGATCTTGGATATCAGAGGATATTTAGCTATCATCATTTCAGCATGTACTGTTACACTCTATACTTTACTGGGAGGACTATACTCAGTTGCGTACACTGATGTGATACAGCTGGTTTTTATGATGGTCAGCCTGGTAAGGCCTATACACTTCTGTGATTTTAGATTGAAGTGTAGAAGAGGTAAAGCACAAGAAACCTGTTTATGTAGAGAAGGGGCTTCTTTATTATTTCCTGATCTCATTATTGCATGGTTAATAACAATCTAAGGAAAACCATTAAAAAGCAACCTTTGCTCTAAAGGCAGTTATATACAGGATGTGAAACAAAGCAGTTCTGTAGTCATAAAACGAATGTCATTTTACTGACCATTTAAATGCAGCCACTTCTGGGGTGGATGGCAGTAACTGTTTAACAGCACATACGCACACTACACAACAGTTTAGGAGAAGAAGAGAAAATACCAGATATAACTGAAACTATAGAGCATTTAGTTTGATTGTACTAATTGCCCCACTTGGAATCGACCCAGTCACTGGAGCTAACACTGCTACTATTGTGAAATTGCCATAAAATCCTTAATGACCATAGAGTATGGTGACAACCTTAGTTTTACATCTCATCTGAAAAATGACGCCCTGCAGCAGCACAGAAACCCTGGAAGGCCGTACTGCAGCTATCAATTGACTGGGGTGTGGGGACTGGGGGGGGGGGGGGGGGGTCGGAGAGCCACCTATTGAATTCCCAGAAAACAGCTGGAGATTGAATCCAAACAGAGGGAAATAGTTGAAGCAAGTTCATGCTCCTTTGGGAAAAAACAGCTGACTCACATACAGTCCATGAAAGATTCTCTGATTTACACAGTATAAATCTGGAGTAATCCCACTGAAAATACTCTGAATTTACATCTACAAAATCCAGAGCAGAATTTGGCCTCATAGATTTATGAGTGTCACTAAGATCAGAATCTAACCCACAGTCTCAGCCCCAAGGATCTTTCAGTATGTCTAATTAAGACAAACACTTCATTGGTTTACAAGAGGAATTACAAAGCAGCATAAATGATATGTAAAACCCTTCATGAGTCTTGGAGCGAGCACAGGGTGAACAATAATTCTTTTATGAGGCTGTAGTGTTGTAGTTTCTAGGTCAATTCATCAAAAGACCAAATTTCCCAAGTCCTTCCAAGTGCCTTCCCCAGTAGCTTATTTTAAATCCAGAATGTGCAAGAGTGCCAGAAACCACCTCAAAGTCAGAACTTATTAGAAAACAATTCTTTCCACAAAACTGGAACATGCCATTTTCTAAATGTCTGTGTTAAAACAGCAACAGGTTTCTCAAGCAATACACTATTCAGACTCACAAAAACCTCAATTCCACCTTCTCTCCAAATCACTGTTAAACTGAATAACAGTTTAAAAATATAAATATATTTAATAACTTAAGGGGGAAATATCTTCAGAGAATATTTTAGGTATTTTTTTTAAAGATTCAAAGTTCAGATTAAGGTTACACTTGTGGGAAGAACCATGCACGTGTTGGAAAATTTGGAAATGCTCATTTCAGGTACCCAAAGTTAGGTGAAAGTTTAAAGAAAACAGTCCTTGCCCAGTAGTGCTTAAAAACAACTCAATTCCATAAGCACGTCTAACTTTACTCGCGTGAGTGACACCATTAATTTCAATTAGATTTATGCACATGCTTAAGTGTTTGTAGGACCGGTACCTAACTTCCCAGTCCTACACTGAGTTCTATGTGGGAGGATCCCTGCATCCACATAGAGCTCCAGCGAAATCCATGGATCTGTAGGAAGGCAAGGGGTCTGCGTAGGATATGGGTTTCAGAGCACAGTCCTACAAACACTTATATAAAGTACTCAGGCAAGCAGTCCAATGGGACTAATTCACACTCATAAGTATTTGTAGGATGGAGCCTTTACTGGACATCCAAAACAATCCCAACAGAATGAGCAGTGGGGGATGACTGTCAGAGTGTTGCACTTTAATTTGCGATAAACGGGTCTGTAACTGCACTTCTAAATTAGATGGGCTGAAATTAAAACTATTTAAATCAAAAACAGTGTTTAGTCTTAGCATATTAGAAAAAGATCATGATGATTATGACTGTGTATCCACTCTGGATCCAACACCACCGATCACTGGAACTCTGTCTTTGAAGGGTCAGATTACTGCACAAATTTCTTAAAACAGTTCCCCCTCCCCCCATATTTTAGAGAGACAGGAGTGTCTACACAAGCTCTTCTTATGCCAGGATTATTATGAGTATTCTGAGTGGAAGAGGATGCATTCCATAAGTAGTAAATAAGACACTAAAACTCACACAACCTACAGTTCCCGACCCCAGATCCCTTCCACAGAATGCTCCTCCAAGGCTCAACCTGGGAGCGACTCACCAAGCTCTGCAGAATATTAACTCCTGCAGCCTGACTTTCCTCTCTCTGACACCAGCTGTATGCCAATGTAACTCCATGGAGCTCATCCTGATTTACAGGGATGTGAGATGAGCTTCAGGTTGCATGGGTTTTGGAAGAGCTAGGTTTAGGACACAGCAGCTGCATCCCTTCTCCTGGCTGTAGTTTTTCAGGTGCAGAGATAGCATAAGCCAGGGTCTGGCATCTGAGTTTTTGTTCAGACTGTTTTATTCTAATATCACAAACAAAATAGTCACTAGGGAATTCAGGCAGGGAGATCCACACAGGCCAAAGTGGGGAAACTTTAGTCTTCAGTTTGTCTTTCCTTAAATGTTGCAAGCCTGATATGACCCAAGGGAGGGACTTTATTTGAACTCTGCAAGGCTTCATTACTGCAGTTCTCCAACTGCTTTTATGGAACAGCATGGGCCCCCTCTGGTGGCTAGGTTAACACTAGTCACTTAACCGGCAGCTGAGTCTAATGTCATCCAGAACATGGCTATAAACAAAACAGCTGTCTTCAAAATAGGGTGACCAGATGTCCCGATTTTATAGGGACAGTTCTGAAATTTGGGGCTTTTTCTTATATAGGTGCCTATTAACCCCCATCCCAATTTTTCACACTTGCTATCTGGTCACCCTACTTCAAAAGGTGTTAGCCATTTAGGCACGATTGATTTTTTCATCCAGAATGGGTGCTCAAGGTGAGGTGAGAAAAGCAAGAGGCACTAGGAACCACTGGGTGCCAGAAGCACACTCACACATGGCTAGAAATAACTGCTGCACTTGTGTCCAGAGAGCTCAAGGAGAGTGCAGGCTACCACCCACATCAGCACCAGCCTCTCCCAAAGGGGCAGGACAGACAATGTCCTCACCCTATCTATGCCAGCCAGCAGAGACGCTCCCCTCCGTGGGGAGTGTGGTATTATTCTTGAGGCCCAGAGAGCTTTATATTTAACATGACATTATTACTTAAACACTTAAAACACAGCAACAAGATCCTGCTATAAGTGACAGCCAGCCACAGCTTGTTCTGGCCTGGCAGTCTGGAATCCTGCTTTCCAAAATGGAGGATGACCTTTGGTCTCTGCTGCCACACCCCACACCCTTACAGCACAATCACAGCTGTTCCCCACTGGGAGGGCACTATGTACCAGGGGTGTAGCCACAAGTGGGCCTGGGTGGGCCACAGCCATCCAGGCCTATCCCCTCCAGCCTGGCTCTGCTCCAGCCCCAGCACTTGCCCCATTCCCCCCACCTGCCAACACTCCAGCTGGGGGGTGGGGTCCGGGTGCAGGGGCTTGTCCCACTCTGCCTGCCCGGCGCTCCAGCCAGGGAGTGGGGTTGGGGGCTTGCCCTGCTCCACCCTACTGCCTGGCACTCCAGTTGGGGAATGGGGTCAGGCACTTGCCCCTCTCTGCCTGCCTGGTGCTCCAGCCGGAGAGCGGGGTTGGGGTGCAAGGGCTTGCCCATCCACCCAAAGTCGGGGCCCACCCAAGAGTCCCTTCCTGGCTACGCCATTGCTATATACAGTAGTACAACATAAAGGGGAGTGTACCAGTGACAGGTTCTATTCTATTTATTCTACAGGGTTTGTGTCTTCACATCGCCACCTCCATGAGCCTTATAGCCAAAGCTGAGCTCTTAAAGATTTAGGGCAAAAGTAAACCTTCAGTTTTTAGGTATGTTCAGGATAGCAGCCTCATGTGCAAATCTGTGAAGAGGGTCAGGGCACTGCTCTCTAATTGAATGAGTCACATCCAGGATTCTCAAGGGGGAAAGTGCTTGCTGTACCTTTAGAAGGCTCTCTGAGTTATAACAGTGTTGAGTTGCCTGTTTTCCCCACTGAAATAGATACTGGTAATTGCATCATCACTGCTTAATCACCATCATTATTCAAGAGGCTGCATGATTAATATTTCAGCCGCTGTTTTGTTAGAGCCAAATGGGATAGATTCCATTTGATTTGCCACTGGCTGTTCCCAGCCCCATAGCAGTGTATTCCGTCAAGAAGCTGAGATAAACTGCACTGGATATGACTACATGGAGTCAGGACTAGGCGAGGCTATGCCTTAGAACACAGCACAACACCCACAGGACCCGTGCAGCAGTCTTTCTGCAGATCTATAGAAAAGCTCAGGTATAGGGAAGAGTCCTCGACATGCTTCCCCACTTCAACCAGCTTTAGGGCTGGTTTGTAGCACCACAGCAATGCAAAGCAACTTCTCTATACAAAACCAGCCACTTTATAAAATGACAAGGACAGAGTACCCATGTGAGCTGTATAAAAAGAGCTATCGAAAACAAGACAGAAGTTTAAATGGAAAGGTTAAACAGGACTAGTTTATTTCCCCCTTCTCAGCCTCAGTCTACTCACAACCATCATCCTTAACATTAGAAAAATCCCATATAAGAGCTTAAAGGTGGGAGGCAATTTCAGATTTCTGTGGAATGCCAAGATTTCGTGGTGGTATGGTCTGGGGAGGGGGAATTTCAGGTTTATAGGGAAAACAGAACAGTTACAAATGTTGTCTGGTGTACATTATCCTTTTGTACTGATAATTGTTTTCATGCTAAACATAGTGGACTTGTGTGCCATTTGCACTGCTGAACTCTGCAACTGAAAGCATTTATTATACTGCTGTTAATGAATTCTATCAAGTACCATGGATTGGCAAACTAGAAACAGAGTATTTTGGAAGATGGTTAGACGAACTTCTGTATGTGGTAAGAGCTTCTTTTTTCCATCCTTTCCTTCTAATAGTTCACCTGGAGTGACAGTAAAAGCAAAGCACCTTTTTATAAACCCACTAGTACAGACTGAATTTCACACGATAGAATACAGGGAGAAAGACACTTCAGAATTTCAGATATTTTTATGAATGCATCTTTATTATGGTTAAGGCTAAGATTTTGTCCCGGATATTTTTAGTAAAAGTTACAGACAGGTCACAGGCAAAAAAAGAAAAATTCACAGAAGATGTGACCTGTTGCCGTGACCTATCCGTGACTTTGACTTAAAATATCCAGGACAAAATGGGGACCTGCGGGTCCCCACACCGCCTGAAGCGGGGCAGCTGCTTGAGGCTAGGAGCTACCTGCAGCAGCTGGGGGCTACGGGGTACCCCTGCCACCTGCAGCTCCAGGGGTCCCGCACTGCCTGTGGCAGCTGGGAGGTGCCCAGGCCTCCATGCAAGGTTTAAAAATCTGAAATGCCGTAGGCACTGACTTACCCTCTGCCCCGTGGGTGCTCGACCCCTCCCCCCACCACCCCTGGCCCTGCCCCTGCTTGCCTCTGCACCACCCTCACCCCACCCCAATTCCACCCCCTTCCCCCAAGTCCCCGCCCCACCCCGCCTCTTTACCATCTCTTCCCCCAAGCGCGCCACGTCCCCACTCCTCCCCTTCCCTCCCAGAAAGTCCTAAGCGCCACCAAACAGCTGTTAGGTGGCGGGCGGGAAGCACTGGGAGAGGGAAGAGTGGGACGTGGCACTCGGGCGGGAGATGAGGAGCGGGAGCAGAGGGAGCTTAGCTGCTGGTGGGTGCGGAGCACCTGCTAATTCTTCCCCATGAGTGCTCCAGCCTCTCAGCACCCATAGAGTTGGTGCCTATGTGAAATGTCATCAAAAATTGTAGTTTTGTTTTTGAATACAGGTTTTTTTGTACACAATTCTACATTTGTACGTTCAACTTTCATGATAAAGATATTGCACTACAGTACTTGTATTAGGTGAACTGAAAAATACTATTTCTTTTGTTTTTTTACAGTGCAAATATTTGTAATAAAAATAAACATAAAGTGAGCACTGTACACTTTGTATTCTGTGTTGTAATTGAAATCAATATTTTTGAAAATGTAGAAAACATCCAAAAATATTCCACTAAATGGTCATTCTATTATTAACAGCGTGATTAATTGTGCGATTAGTCACAATTAATATTTTAATCACACGATTAATCGTGATTCATTTTTTTAAATTGCTTGACAGACCTAATAATAAACATTAATAATACTGTCTGAGGAACAGGGTGCTCTTATTGCTGTGACTTGTGTCCTGCCTCAGCCCATCCCTCTCCAGGAAGTTTGTTACTCTTGGCTTGTGTTTAAATCTAGATTGTAAGGTCTTAGGGTTGGGCCAGTCTTATTATTTGTCCTGTGTACTGGGTGCTGTAAAAATAATAAATGACAACAAAGGAGTTCCTATGCCAAAGACACCCTGAGTGCCTGACAGGGAAACTCCTGCTGCTTTTCCCACAAAAACAGTGGAACAAGGGCAGCTCTGCTACAGAATGAAGGAAGCCTAATGAATGAAGGAGCATACACCCCTGTGGGCTATAAAGCCTGGTTCTGCATGGGATCTTTCCTGGCTGCAGTGGAAAGGGATGGGGTTAGGAGAGAGACAAGCCCAGAGAGGAGTGGGGGCCAAGATAATGGATGCCACAGATCTACCAATCACCCTCCCCTGCAAAAGGACAGAGTGACAGGCAGAAGGAATATTACCAACCCACAGCTTTCAGTAGCAGCAGTAACCCCAGAATGACTACTGTCTGGAGGGAGGAACTGCCTTCATGAGGATAGGTTTGCCCCGAATCACAGGTGCCATTTCAGAAAAATTCAGGGGAGAGGGGTCGAAGTTGCGTCAGCATGTAGAACATTATATGTGATTATATTATATCCTGCAAAGTTGGGAGGGAGGGAGACAAAGAGCGGAAGACATAATGGAGTATACAGACCTATGAAAATTTTGGTGGGGGAGGGAGCAAATGAAGGTCTACAGCAAACGTCACTCCAGCCTCTAATAATGATGCATGAGTTATTTTTAATGGTTTACCTTCTTTTCAGGCTCTTGGAAGTATTCCATGGCAGATCTATTTCCAAAGAGTCCTCGCGGCCTCCTCATCCAGACAAGCAAGGCTCACTTCTTATTTTGCAGGGTTTGGATGTGTTTTCATGGTCATTCCATCTGTTCTTATTGGCGCAGTTGCTGCTTCTACAGGTAACACAAAAGCTGTTTCTTTCCATTAGCACCCTGAGGCCATGACCAATGGCCTGTTTCGCTAGGCGCTGTACACACACACACACGTCCGTGTCCCCAAAATCTTGCTGTCTATACGTATGAGGCACAAATGATGGATACAACAAACAAATGGGGAAGAAAAAGTAAACAGTGACATAATGAATAGCAAAGTAAATATCAATCTCACTGTAACAGGCATCTTCCCTCTCCGACATGGAGATGCAGTGTCTGCCTCAGTTTCCCAATACGTGGTGATCTCCTTTTAGCTGGCTGGAAGGAGGTCTCAGAGAGCCCTGTTGTCAAAATTAAAAATATTCCAGGATACAAAAGTCACAAAGAAGAGTCCAAACAAAATGGAAAAATCCAAATCTTCCAGACAGCCTTTTTGGCTTTCTTTCCAGGGCCTTCTCCTTGGTTGCAGAGGTTCCCATCTCCTATAGGTGGCACCATAAAGAAATTCCATCATCTAGTGCAGTCTTCAGCCCAGGCTTCCTCAACCACTAAGGGTAAAGTCTACTCAGCCATTAAACACCTGCGACTGGCCCAGGTCAACTGATTTGGGCTCCCGGGGCTTGCGTTGCGAGGCTGTAAAACTGTTCTGTAGATGTTCAGGTTTGGACTGGAGCCTGATCTCTGGGACCCTGTGAGGGGGGAGGATCCAGCCTAGGCTCCAGCCTGATCCCAAACATCTACACAGCAATTTTTAGCTCCACAGCCAGAGCCCTATGAGCCTGAGTCAGCTGACCCGAGCCAGCCATGGCCAGGCCAGCCGCAGCCATGCCACAAGTCTTTTATTCCAGTGTAGATGTACCTTAAGCTGCTGTGCACTGCATTAAAATCCCTACCCTGCTTCACTTTTTTCCAGACACTTCCCACCTTGGCCCATCTCATCCTAGGCCTTCTGAAATGTCTTCAGCAGACACCCTCCCAGGTTTCTTCCCTGGCTCCCTCTCAAGAAGGAATCACACCACCTTGATCCCAGCCCATGAAGAGCTTCCTTATGCTTCTGCTTGCCTGGGCCTTCTGTCCACTCTGAGGAAAGCATTATAGCTATCACCAAGCATTCAAAAATCATGAGTCATGCTCCAAAAATCATGGGACTGGTTTAAAAATCATGAGATTTTAAAAAAAGGTTTCTTTGCCTTCTGGTTTCTGAGCCTTAAGGCTTGGGTCACGTTTTCAAACTTTTCTCCATGACCATATGGCTAGAAATGAACTTTTAGTTTTTAAATGAAAGTTGAGTTTCTACACGAAGCCAGGGCTTTAAGAAAATCACCCAATCCTGTGAAACTTGTGATAAAATCGCAAGAATTGGTAGCACTGCGAAAGGCTGCCTCTTATAGTCTCTTTCTTTCCCATCATGCATTGCAGCCTGGCCTACAACTCCTAGAAGACATAATGTCAGGCAGCTGTAGGCTAGAACATGGAACAGGGCAGGCTGGACCCAGGCCTGCTATCCTCAGTCTCAAAATTCTTTCTACCCCTAAGATCATTCTTTCCACTCTGGAAGTTATATTTTCCTCATTAATTTTCCAGATATGGTTAAATAGGCAATACTCTGGTACAAAGAGGTTTGTTTGTTTTAATCCCTAGTCATATATAATGAGGACTAGATCCTCAGCTGGTGTAAATCTGTGTAGCTCACACCAATTTACAATAGCTGAGGAACAGTCCCTCAGAATTAAAAAAAAAAGAAAGCTCATTGCAATATTAGGCTTACAGAGTTACAGTCACAGAGATTCAAAATGTCAGCGTTGCCAACTCTCATGCAATCTCAGCAGGGAAAAGAATGGTGTCAAGGCTGATTCCCCACTCTGGCACTTCGAGTGCAGAAGGTGGAGGCCCACACGGATTCTAAAAATTAATACTGGGCACTGCAGGCTTGTATTAAACTCCCAAGGTTACAGCTTCTCTTTGACCTTAGATGCTGCCACCACCCAAGTGCAAAAAACAAAACAAAAAACCAACCCCTTTAGACCCAGGGCGCACTTGGGAATTCCTCCCTATGAGGTACCCTCAAGCCCTTTCACCTCCACTCCGGGAAAGAGCTGAGAAAGAAACAAAGGAAATCAGCTGTTGCCACCAGCTAATTAAACAACGTGCACAAACCTCTTAGGACACAAAAACCCAATCCTGTTGTTTAAAAAGGTAAATTTTATTAAAAACCAAAAGAAAGAAAATACATCTGGAACTTAGGCTATTGCTAGATTTAAAAAGAGCAAATATAATAATTAAGCATCAAGAATGGTTTTCTTGAGGTCCAGCTTAATGGTTACAAGCAAAACAAAAGCATTTGGGGGTTAGCACAGAGGAGTCCACAAGCCATAAAGAAATAAAAGAGATAAATCTAATCACATCTTTCTAGACATTTTCTGATCTACTTACATATCTGGGGTTTCAAATGAGTAGTTTCTAGGTATGATCTAGTGATTTTCATACCTGGCCCACAGCTTTTTACAGCATAGCTACAGCCCTGTCTCTGCTCTGTCCCCTCTCTCTAGAGAACAACAACAGACAGAAAAAGGGAAAGTTTTTTCCCAATTTTAAAAAGTTCTAGCCCTCCCATTGGCTCTTTTAGTCAGGTCCCCACTTCCTTGCTTTACCTGTAAAGGGTTAAAAAAGCCCATAGGTAAAAGAAAGTAGAGAACAGCTACTAACAGGGATTTTATAGCTAACTGGCTGGCTGGGTGTCCGTAAAAGAGAGCTATCCCACCCCACCCCCCCTTCACTTATCACAAATGGCCTCAAGGTTAAACCATAAGAAACTCAGAAAATCTGAGCTTTGTTCCCAGTTCTGCCACAAACATCCTGTGTGATCTTGGACAAGTCACTTAATCCCTGTGCCTCAGTTTCCCATTTGAAAAATCAGGATATTACTACTTCTCTACCTCAGAAAACTATTGAGATGATAAACTTGTTGGTGTTAGTGAGGTGCTCAGATACTACGTTGATGGGGCCTAAATATCTATAGTATGTAGACAGGGGCTGTCATAACCCTTCTTCTGCCTGTGCATCCCCAAATTGCATTGACTTTTGTTTGTAAACCAACTGATTTGATGAAGTTCTTGTTTTACGACATTCCAAATAGTAGATTGTGTGCCCACAGTTTGTACTGCATAGTGGGTAGACATGAATGCATATATAAATTCCTAATGTAATGCTTCTCTATTTGTAAGCTTTTGTACATATGATGTTGCACCTGATCTGCCTGGTAGAATGTTTTAATTTGCAATTGCCTGTTCATGCAGTACAAGCCTTTGAAATATTATAGAAATTAGCTTTTTAGTTTAGTGATGCTTATACATAGGTCAGTACAAAAATGTCAGTTCTGATGCTAACATAGATCTAATTTATATCTTCTGTAGCACAAATCTGTGTACTTGTACAAAATGAAAAATGGTGGTGGTGGTAATGCTAACAATATACTTTGGGAATTTTACCTCTACAGAGAAGTTACAGTATATGAAGACTTCAAGGACACAAGCCCCTTAAAACGTACTTGAAAGAACAGGACTTGCCACAAATTTGGAAAATGTGTTGTTTGTCAAGAAAATCAAAAGAATGCAAAACTACCAAAAGCTACCAGTGCTGAACAGAATTCGGTGATTCTGGCAGCAGAAGCCAGGAGAGATTAATTGTATGGATGACTACTGGCTGAGTTTTTTAGGTTAGATTAAATTAGACGAAGGTTTCTAACCATCAGAGGAGTGAAGTTTTGGAATAGCCTTCCAAAGGAAGCAGTGGGGGCAAAAGACCTATCTGACTTGATAAGTTTATGGAGGAGATGGTATGATGGGATAACATGATTTTGGCAATTAATTGATCTTTAACTATTCATGGTAAATAGGCCCAATGGCCTGTGATGGGATGCTAGATGGGGTGGGATCTGAGTTACTACAGAGAATTCTTTCCTGGGTATCTGGCTGGTGAATCTAGTCCACATGCTCAGGGTTTAGCTGATCGCCATATTTGGGGTTGGGAAGGAATTTTCCTCCAGGGCAGATTGGAAGAGGCCCTGGAGGTTTTTCGCCTTCCTCTGTAGCATGGGGCACGGGTCACTTGCTGGAGGATTCTCTGCTCCTTGAAGTCTTTAAACCACGATTTGAGGACTTCAATGGCTCAGACATAGGTGAGAGGTTTTTCGCAGGAGTGGGTGGGTGAGATTCTGTGGCCTGCCTTGTGCAGGAGGTCAGACTAGATGATCATAATGGTCCCTTCTGACCTTAATATCTATAAATCTATGAATCTTCCTTCTATGCTGTGCTTTGAATTATTTTCCTTCAGATGAACGTTCTGGTGTTTTTCAAGGTTGAATTTCATTTAATTTTTTCTTCCATTTTCATAACCCCCAAACCACAGACCTCAAAGCATGATGAAGCTTAGAAAGTTTTGGTGGATTTCTGACAATTTAGAGATCTTACAGAGCCCAGGAATGCTGACAGCGTTCCTAATGATCTTTCCCTTCAGAGTTATTGATTGTTTCAGGGGAAATAAGTATGTCTTACTGCACCTTGCAGGGAAAAATAAAAGGTCAAGATCAATGCGGAATTCACTGTTAGTTACTTCAACACAGAAGAGAGTAAAGGAATGAAAAATTAACACAGCAAATCCAAAACTCCCTGTTAATTAATGTTCTTTTCTCTTTTAAGACTGGAATCAGACAAGCTATGGTCTGCCAACCCCTAATGAAAGAGGGGAGTCCAGCATGATATTACCCATAGTTCTGCAGTATCTTTGCCCAACGTATGTTTCCGTTGCTGGCTTAGGAGCCATTGCTGCTGCCGTCATGTCTTCTGCAGATTCAGCCCTTCTATCAGCCAGCTCCATGCTAGCTCACAACATCTACAGGAAAATTCTTAGGAAAAAGGTGAGGAGTCTTTGTGAGCCACTGACACCATGAATCACATAGGGAAAGTTATGGAAGGTTTTTAAACTACTCCTTTGTATGCCCCCAGGAGATTTCTCAAGGCGAATGTTGCTGTAAAATGCTGTCATTGGGCTCTAGACATGGGATGGAATCACTACAGAGGGCAGACTTTGAACTAGTCATTTAGCAAATGAAAAAGCTGTGCATCTATTTCATAGCCTCAAATGAAGTCAAAGAGAACAGCAAAAAGCCCTTGGCAAAGCACTTCAAAGCACTCATGCAGCATATTAGAGAGCCGAAGGCGCTTTTTGGCTCCTCTCTGACTATTGTTCCATTTGTTAAAGTGGTTTTGTTTCATTATTAATGACTCCAGAAAGAGAAACCTGGCCTTCCCAACAAACTTAAGATGCTCTCATGTGACACAGAGGAGGCAAGAAAACTTCAGAAATTGGAACTAAAAAAAGTGACAGAGAAGTTTTCTAGCTGGGGACAGGATGATTTAGTTGGGGATTGGTCCTGCTTTGAGCAGGGGGTTGGACTAGATGACCTCCTGAGGTACCTTCCCACCCTGATATTCTATGATTCTATGACAGCACTTCAGTGCTGGTGAAATGATTTATCTATAAAGTTTGTAAATCACACTGATATCCTGTGATTTAAAGGTACGTAGTAAAGATAAGACAGGAAATTGAATTTCTTGGGGTCTGTACTTTGTTACTTGGTGGCCTGAGCTTTTTATTTAAACTCTGGCAAATACATTGTGTTATGACAAAGGAAAAACTAGGAGGCCAAGATTAATGCACAAGGTGACTGTATCCTAGAAATGGGTATTATTAGTCTTATTTGTATAAGATGTGTAGCTAGGTTTTCAATATCAAGCTGCTTTAGAAAAATATATCACTAATTTGACTGGGCAAGTAACCCTCCAGAATTAACAGGCTGGTCTGATTTTCCTGAAAGGTTGTTCTCACTTCATTACTAAATCAAAATGGCTGCTAAAACAATGGGGCCTAGATTGTGCACCTTTTACTCATGCTAGTGAGCACTTGCTCACACGAGTAGTCACAGTGAAGTCAATATCAATATCTTGAACTGCTGAAATCAAGAGACTGCATGGGAATCTCAGCTTTCTTTTAAACAAAAGTTTCTAATCCTCACGGTGATGGAGAAAAACTTGAAAAGGTGGAGTACATATTGAAGGTTTAGACATGAGAATGTAAATAAAAACAACCCAAAATTTATTTATATTTTTAGATCTCGTGATGGGGGGGGAGGGGGCTGACTCATGATTTTTCAGGGCTTGGGGTTGGTAATTGTGTCTGCCAAGGCAAGCACAACCACATTCAGAGCCTGTAGTGCTCCACTGAAGTCAGTGGCAAAACTCACCAGGCTATTTTAAATAGATTTGGCCCAAATCATCATCTCCATGGGGGATGGGGATGGAAACCGTACATGTTCCTCACTTGGGGGAGTTCTGTTTCAAACAGCAGTACCTCAAAGCACACCACAGAACAGCGAAGAGAGTCCCATGGCCTGTCTATGCTACAGAGCATTTGCAGGCATAGACATGCTGACAAAGCCCCCTACTGGAGACACAGCATATGCCAGCAAAAGGAGTTCTGTCAGCATAGCTACCCCCCACCTCCCTGAACAACATCAGCTCTGCCAAAAAAAAAAAGCACTCTTGTCAGCACAGTTGCATCCACATAGGAGGCTTCGCTATGTCAGCTGGAGTGTGTGATTTTTTTCATACTCCTACCTGACATAGCTGTCTTGGCAACACTTTGTAGTATTGGCCAAGTTAGCGTAACTTACACACTGAGAATTCCAGAAGGTGAAAATTATAGTTGCTTACACTCTCTTAGGTATTTTCATTTAGAATTGCCTCTGATTTCATCCCACATAATCTATCCCAGCATGAGGCCCACCAGCGGGACTTAAAAGCAACTCAGAAAAGCTCTTTAGTGCAAAAGTTAAAACCTACCCTCACTTCTGTAAACATTTCTTAAATTTAGCCATTTTTAATATGGAAAATTCCTTACCACAGACAAATAATACAAATGTAAAATCTGTAAGGATCAATATTATTAGTTTGGTGAAACATATGAATTCTGACCTGGTTTGATACTACAGTTAATGTCCTGGCCTCTCCACTTGCATGCCTCAGTTTTTGGGAGCTCAGTTTTGCGGACATATTGTGTGATGTAATGTGGCAAGGAGCTGAACACCTGCAGCTCCCATTGGTTTCGAATGCAGCTGTAGATGGTCCAAACCTCTGGAAATCAGGCTCTGGTGTCTAAAGTTGGGCATCCAAAATTCAAGGCCACTTTAACTAATGTGCTGGCCTCAGTCATTAATCAACAGTACAACTAATAAAGTTCCTCCTTTATTTTAAGTGGCAGAGGTGCGGGCTTTGGTGCTGAAAGGCCTGAGTTCAAACACTACTGGCAAGGCAGGGGCTGTTACACAAGCACTAGAGTGCACTGTTATAACAGTGCCAGCATCTATTAATAAACTCCTCTGACTTTTGTAACCTTGAGATCTAATTCAGGGTGAGATTAAAAATGAGCCAATGATGATTTCTACAACAATACTCTCTTATTTTACAGGCTACGGAGAAAGAAGTCGTCTGTATAATGAAGGTCTCCATGGTGGTTTTTGGGGCAGCAGCTGCAGGCCTGGCTTTCCTTTCTAACTCTGTTTATGATCTGTGGTTCCTGAGTGGTGAGCTGGTGTACGCCCTTCTCTTTCCCCAGCTCTGCTGCGTGCTTTTCATTCCCAACACCAACACATATGGCTCAGCTGCTGGATTCCTCTTCGGGTTCCTGTTAAGACTGCTGGCAGGGGAGCCTTCCCTGAAAATCTCCCCTATTATTCACTACCCAGGTTGCTCTCTTGTGGATGGGGTCTACATTCAGCTGTTCCCCTTTAAAACCTTCACCATGCTTCTCACTTTGGGGACTATCATTGCTGTTTCATACCTGGTGGCGTTTTTGTTTAAGAGAAATATCCTCCCTCACAGGTGGGATGTTTGCAGCGTAATAAAAGAAAGGGAGGCTTCTGTTCCACTCCCTGAGATAGACGAACAAGCGGGCTTACAAATAAATATAGTTTATATTAATCCTATTGAAATACATACTTAATATTGTGTACTTCATAATATGGGCTACGGTATTTTTCATTACATGCTGAGTTATTTTTATTCATGATTATTTATAATATCCCCCTAGAAAGCTGGAAGCTGAAATCTCTTTTCTGATTAACATTGTTTCTTTAGTTATACAGACATATATTGGTTTGTTATTATAAGATTGAACGTTTGCCATGAAACTGAACCTAAACCCCAAAGCCAAACAAATCCACATTTGGGGAGAGTTTGAGATGTGGATCTGAACTTTGGGACTGGTCTCTGTCTTTATAATAGATTAAACCAAATCAATTGAGCCAACATTTAAAACTAATAAAGGATTTTTTTTTTCACAACCACAGAATTAACATGTGGAATCGCTGCCACAAGCTATCACTGAGGCCACAAGCTAAAAAAAAGATTCAGAGAAGGATTAGAAGTTTATAAAGCTAAAGAAAGAAATCCACAGTTCTATTAGACAGGGTTTTCTTTAAAGAAGGTCATAAATCAACCACTAACTGATGGGAGTTGGGAATAAACTGCCCTATGGGCATGTTATTTCATAACTGTCTATTATGGGGGTTTTTGCACTTTCCTCTGACAAATCTGGTGCTGGTCTCTGTTAGAGACAGGAGGACACCGGACTATATGGACCCAGAGCCAGGGGTCAGAGTCGAGTCAGGAAACAGAGCTGGAGTGGATTGGACTGGAGCTGGGCAGGAACAAGGCTTTCACAGGAGCAATTGCAGGTGTGGACATGTACATTGACAGCCAGAGATCAGTCATTGTTGTTGGGCTAAAGCGCAGGCTTGCTGACTTCCTTGGCCAATCAGTGGGAGCGGTCAATCAGGCGGCCCTGCGGGGATCAGCTGTGGCTGCCCAGAGACTGAGCGGGGAGCTGCACGTCCTCATTCCTGACAATGGGGCCCAAATGTCTCAATTCATTGGCCTCCTAAATGGCAGGTGTAATGATTCAGAAGCAGGCAAAATAGTCAAGGCACGTATGAGAAACGGAAATGTAATTCGCACACTGCAGTGCAACTGTGATCCGAATCCCCTTAGTTGAGTTATCTTTACTGGGCCAGGGGAGGAGACATATTCATTGTTTCAGACAGCTGTGTTCGTGCAGCTTTTAGGCGGATGAATGGCATCATCTCCTTGAAAGAGCCCAATTTCCAGTTCAGACCCTTACAGACCACAGACACCTGGAGAACCTTGGCATGGCCTGAAACCTAAACCAGTGCCAGATCCGCTGGTCCCTTTTCTTCACCTGATTCAATTTCATTGTGACATCCTGCCAGGTGCAGGAAACAAGAAGGCAGATGCCCTGTCCCGAAAGGATGAACTTGTTGTGTCATGCACAACAGCTTGACAACTATCCTTAAGCCATACACACCTCCTCAGGAAAAAGAGGGAAAACATAACAGGAGTTCAGATTTCAGAGTAACAGCCGTGTTAGTCTGTATTCACAAAAAGAAAAGGAGTACTTGTGGCACCTTAGAGACTAACCAATTTATTTGAGCATAAGCTTTCGTGAGCTACAGCTCGATGAAGTGAGCTGTAGCTCACGAAAGCTTATGCTCAAATAAATTGGTTAGTCTCTAAGGTGCCACAAGTACTCCTTTTCTTTTTATAACAGGAGTTGAGATTATTTCTCAGATGGAACAGAGGATGATGAAGTAAACAGCAGCAGCCAATTACAAAATAGCCACTGTAGAGGTGCAGTTGCTTTTCCCTGCCAAATATAAAGGGTCAACCTGAGAAAGGGATGCTGAGGAAAAAAGTCCTTATAAAAGGGCAACCCTGCAGTTGGGAGAGGGGGAATTGGCAGGGATTAGGAAATTCCATTACCAAGTGTCAAGGTTCCTTCCCCACTCTGAACTCCAGGGTACAGACGTGGGGACCTGCATGAAAGACCCCTAAGCTTATTCTTACCAGCTTAGGTTAAAAACTTCCCCAAGGTACAAACTTTGCCTGTCCTTGAACCATATGCTGCCACCACCAAGCGTTTTAAACAAAGAACAGGGAAAGAGAGCAATTGGAGACATCTTCCCCCAAAATATCCCCCCAAACTCTACACCTCCTTTCATGGGGAATGTTTGATAAGAATCCTCACCAATTTGTACAGGTGAACACAGACCCAAATCCTTGGATCTGAAGAACAACAAACAATCAATCAGGTTCTTTAATTAATTTTTAATTAAAGAAAAGGTAAAAGAATCACCTCTGTAAAATCAGGATGGTAAATACCTTACAGGGTAATCAGATTCAAAACACAGAGAATCCCTCTAGGCAAAAACCTTAAGTTACAAAAAGACACAAAAACAGGAATATACATTCCATCCAGCACAGCTTATTTTACCAGCCATTAAACAAAAGGAAATCTAACGCATTTCTAGCTAGATTACTTACTAACTTAACAGGAGTTGTAAGGCTACATTCCTGATCTGTTCCCGGCAAAAGCATCACACAGACAGAAAAACCCTTTGTTTCTCCCCCCTCCAGATTTGAAAGTATCTTGTCCCCTCATTGGTCATTTTGGGTCAGGTGCCAGTGAGGTTATCTTAGCTTCTTAACCCTTTACAGGTGAAAGGATTTTGCCTCTGGCCAGGAGGGATTTTATAGCACTGTATACAGAAAGGTGGTTACCCTTCCCTTTATATTTATGACACCAAGAAAATGGCTCTTGGAGAAAAGGCTGCTGTGTTATACACCTCTCCAATTCCTTGACTATAGGAAATGTGTGACTACTAAAGATAGCTACTTTGGTGCAAAGAAAAAATTCTTAAAATGACCTGGCAACATATCCTTGCTGGAGCTGTGACTCTAGTGGGGTGCTAGTTGTCCATAGTGACAATCAGTAGCACAGTCACGTATCCTTAGTTTTATAAATTCCATTTTTATCCCCATTATTGGCCCACTGCTTGACATTTACACATCTATGCAAAAAACAGCCTCCGGCCTCCAATGAAGAGCTGTCTTTGGGTGTGATTGTGCTGTGTGGGCATACCAAGCAAAGCAGTCAGTTCTCACCTGCAGATGCACCATTACCACTCCTCGCTTATTTTCACACCAACCGACACTCACACTCCTTGGCATTGAAGAAGGTATTTGTGCCCATCTGGGTATTGTGGCTGCATAATTTTATATTCGCCTCAATTTTATTAACAATTCTCTCAAAAAAGGTTTAGGTTGTACAGTTAAATTCTTATCAGAAAATGGCAAAACTAAGGATGTATATGTAACATTAACGCTGCCCCCTTTTGCACATACATTAGCCTACCATCTTTAATAACAAGATCACACACCATTTCTCAAATAATACAAGATAATTTTTCTACAGTTATATATACATATGTAGCATGCTATAGTATTGTATGCTGCTCTGTGGAGGCCAGACATACAGAATCCATGAAAGTCACTTATATCCAGGAAATCTGACCAACCCAAGAGGTCAAAAATCATGAATTAAGCCCCCAAATAATATATTTTGGATTCTTTTTATTTACCTTCTTATTTTTAACCTTGAAGGGGGCCATGTTTTCAAGCTTTTCTTAATGGCAACACTACTTCACTGAGTAAGGAAACAGCGTCAGACTTCAGTGAAGTTGTACCCACTTAACACACTGCTATACTTCATCCTAGGAATCTGTCATTTGGGTTGAGCAAATTAGGAACTACAGAATTGTTGCTTTTTGCCTGTTTAGAGCTGTCTCTCTTCCAAGGAGGCAAGATGGTAGCTGTTTTTGAGACTAACTTACACCTGTGGCCATTACCAGCTAGTATGTGACTTCACAGGACTTCAGTCCAGTATCCCTAGCAGGGGTGCTGGTACAATTTTTATAGTGGGGGTGCTGAGAGCCATTGAACCAAACTCTAAACCCGGTATATGATGGAAACTTCTTCAAGACAGACAGATGGTGTAGCAGCACCCCTAGTTCCAGCACCTAAGATCCCTAGGTACACAGATAATTAACTTTCTTCTCATTCCTGAAGGTGCTTCCTCCAGTTAGGGCTAAGGTCTGCTGCTGTGTGTGTAGGGAAACTTGCACTGCTGTTGTCTACGCTGCACGTGTTCTGTGATCAGATGACTTCAATCTCTAGGGTTGGCAAAGCAAATCTGGTGCCTTTTGTGAGTTTTAAATGCCACAAGGAAAAGAAAATATAAGCAAGAGAACAAAAGAATCCTACTTTTGGCCCAGTTCTGCAAACCCTTCCCTCATGCGGGTCATCCCATTGGAGTCAATGGCATGACTTGTGAGAGAAAGGATGGATTATTCTGCCACCCACTGAGGAGTCCCTTACCCCTCAAATAGCCAAAGTGAATAAGGGTGGGAGACTGAGGCCTTAAGTGATTGAGAGTTTTCAGGATCAGGCCCCAAATGTGTATCAAGCTTAATTTCAGTGTGGAAAAACTCATTCTGATCGCTGTTACTGTTTGTATTACCATAGCACATAGGAGGCCTAGTCATAGACCAGAATCCCATTGTGCTAGGTGTTGTATACAGGACAAAAGACAGCCCCTGCCCCAAGGAGCTTACAATCTAAGTAACTCATGAAGCGCTTTCTTATTAATTTCTGGAGAGAGGGAAAACGATGACCCATGAGTGGTGGAGTGAAAAGCAGTCACTCATTTCTGTGGGGGAAGGTGCACTGGAGGTTGGGTGGTTCTGCTGCACTCTTTGATCATGCATGTCTGGAGGAACACAGAGATGCTGTTGTACAGGCTTGCTTATGTTATTTACATCACCCGTGAGTTCCTGGATATTACAGTAAAACAATCCAGTGTGCCTAGAAATAAAAGGGACAGCAGCCTCACTTGGGATTTGTCTTCTGAGGTTCTCTAAGGGGAGTCTCACCAAACGGGGTCTGAACCTTGGGCCTAGATGGCGTGGAGGGCAGAGTTAGAGGACATTACACCCCATATAGTCTGTTTCCCTGCCACTGTGATGTATTTCCTCCCAGACAAAGGAACTGGCACAAACTTTTCCCTGATCTAACTCCACTGAAGTCAGCAGAGTTCCACCAGGGATGAATGTGGCCCAGTTCTAAAGTGGTGACGTTGGAATAGTGCATAGTAACGGAGCAGCATTGCTGGCTCCTCTGCAGAACTGCCAATTAGATGCTCATTTCCTGGCTGTATTACAGCATAACTCTGTATAGTAGTTCCTCTTCTCATTGCCGCCCTCAGCCAATTGCATCTTAAATCAATACCAGAGGATCACAGGTTGTGAGCAATGGGAGAAGCCTACTGCTTATGTGTGTGCTTTGTGCGTGGCCGGCAGAACAATCTCAAGCTCCGGCAGAGACAAAGAGTGTGAGAACTGGTTTAGTCAGAGCCTGCAACCAGCTGAACTGGGTCTGCCCTAGGATCAGTGGCAGCAACTCAGGAGAAGAAGAGAGGCCTGATAGCTCTTAGCCAGGCAGCCCTCGGAGCCGGTCATACTGGCCCAGATACCCTGTTAAATGCAACCCCCGGGGTTTGCTCTTCTCTCTAATGAGACCTCTACAGGGCTGCAGAAGACAAGGCATCATACTGGGGATTGTGACCCTCTGCCTGGCTGCTGGGTGGGCTCTACAGAGTAAGTGTCCTGGATGAGTTTAATCTGTTTGCTTTGTGCTCTCCCCAGCTTTCTCTCTCTCTTCCTCACCCTACCTTCTTTTCTCCACCCCCTTTTACTTTTCCCTTTCTCTCCTTCTTTTCCCCTTTCCTTCTCCCTGTCTCCTTTCTTCCCATCTCTCTTCCAATCTTTGTTTCTGCTCTCTCTCTCTCAGCCCTTTGAGCTGTGTATGAACAATGTAGTTCCTAAGTCTTTGAGAGCAGGGGAATGTTTACATTGTGGTCTTGTGACATATGCACTTCCAGCCCCTGATGCCAAACTGAACTCAGTGGGTATGTCTACACTGCAATTAAACACCACAGCTGGCCCATGTGAGCTGACTTGGGATTGCGGCGCTCAGGCTAAGGGGCTGTTTAATTGCAGTGTAGACATTCAAGCTCAGGCTGGAGGCCGGGCTCTGGGACCCCGCAATGTGGGAGGGACAGCATGGGGTGTAAGTCTACACAGTGCTTGGCCTTGGAAAAGTAGCTAAGACTGTTCTGGCAGTACTTTTCATTCATGCTGCTGGAGTTTGTGTGTTGTGGGGAATCTACTTAGCTGCTCTTTGCCCTGACAATGTTAATTGTTGGAGACATATAGCCCCAGTTTCTGTTCCCTACTCCTTCCACGGAAGTAAGAAAGCAGATGAGCATTCAGCATTGGGTGAGCTTCAACTCCCAGGCAGGATGAGAGCACATGGATTTAGTAGTGACCCAACAAAGCTGGAAACCAGGTGTAATTCCCACCCCTGGCTGAGAAAGAGGAGGGTTCTACTAATCATATTTTTCTCCTTTATTTTTAAACACAAGAGGAAACAAGAACATTTAGTGCAAACAAACTGTACTTAGGACAAAGGGCCAGAGCAAAATTGAGAAATATGGCAGTGCAGTCAGCAAAAAGCTAAAATAAGCTTAACTCAAAAACACAAAACACCCCAAGTATATTAAAGATGGTGAGCCAAGCTCATCCCTGGTGTAGTACAGTCAGTGGAATTAAACTAGGTATGTATTTGATGTGGTGTTTCCTGTGTTACTTCCAAGGAGAGGGTTAATAGAAGCAGCCAGGACAAGCAGAGAGGGTATTCATATTGGAGTCAGGAGTGCCTGCCTCTGATAATGACTTGTTGTGCAACTCTGTGCAAGTCACTTCACTTAACAGTCCTTCTGTTTACATCTTTATAAAGATTAAATTCCATGTCTTCAGCTACAGTAGGATACAGAAGGGGAGTGATGTAGCCATTAGCCCTTCGGTAATTTTACTAACGGTCAATAACATTTTATTTCAAAGCTTTCTCCTCTTCATGAATAATTTCATAGCTGCCAGCTTTTCTCCAAACACATACGCGATCAGAATGCTGTAAACTCAATTTATGTAGCCATGTTAAGGTCCAGTATATGGTGCATTAGTTTCAATTTTGAACCTCTGCAGGTTGAATAACTTGTAGTCCAGAATTTATAGTCTGCAAGAGATGGAGATCCCATTATACGAGCAATGGTGTCTTCCTGTCAGTTCAGTCTATTCATATTTCTGGGATTTTAGTTAAAGGGATTTTTAGTTATTCCTTGCAGCTCAGCACATGTACACACAGAGTCATCTTGCAGTCATTCACAAGAAAATGGATTAGGGTTTGATATTTGCTTTCAAGGTTGGCTGTTTGGATTGGGCAGGTTCAAGAGATCCAAACTGATTGCATGCTAAAATATATTTATATGTTTACTTTTCAGATTGCCAGACTTTATGTATGTTAGACAAAGATTTTAAAATGTTTGCAGTTAATTTTCTGGCAGAAAATTCTGCCGGAAAATGCATTCTGTGAAAGGAATACAATTACCATGTTCAGAACAATACCATGCATTTATCAAAGCAAGTCACTTTAAAGAGCAAGGTAAAAGGAATACACTTGCCATGCACACACCAATACATAAACCAAAGAACAGCAAAGCCCCTTTAAATAAACACCTGATATGGGGAATTAATCTTTTTAAACAATTTTGAATTGTCGCCAGAACAATTAATTTAACCTAATTTTCACAGCTCCTATTTAATTTTTCACAAGTAAAAAGTGAAATTGACCAATGTGCAAAATACCTAGGAGGAGGGCCTATGCGAGGAGAACCCTGTGCAGCCACAGCAAATGTGGCTTTACCCTGAAAAATTACATTGTAACACTGGCATTGAGGGATTCCATGTTTATCATTTCTTGATGATTCCAGATCAAATGTGTTCAGTAAACAAATACAAAGATGGGGTTTTATCCCTAGTGCCGATCTTACAAACCTGTGATGTGAGAATTAAACTGTTTTTTCCATCTTGCAACTCCACCAGTAATAACAATTCTGCAGGTTAGATGCTGTGCTGCTGTAGTGAAGGCTGATAGACCTCACAGCTGTAACTAAGAGTGGAGGGTGCTGGCAATTTATCCCATTTATTTTCTTAGGTTGGGAGGGGAAATTGAATTTTGAAAGTACAATTTTTCCATTGAGAATTTTATTCTTTCTGTGTTTGCCTTTGCTGAAATCAAATTTGTGAACTCTCCACAAAACTCCAAACACAGTCCTAAATGGTCTTTTCTGTGGAGGTCATTTACACTCACTGGAAGGTACCTTTATGCTGCCATAGTGGCATAAAGTGGCCCTAGTGTACCTGAGAGTCAGGCTTTCTGTGTTTTCAAGGGTGCAAATATTTGCAAATTTTATATTTTTTTCAATTGAGCACAGCAAGAAGGGCCATGAAAAGAATTTAAAGGAGAGGTGCTCGCCAACAGCTCCCCCAAACAAGAAGATGTTGTAGTAACAACACAAAACAACCCTTCAGTAGTGAAACTTACCCTTCACTCTTCCAGGTGTTTGGGGTCAATAACTGAGGATTTCAGTCTTCAAGCATCCTTCACCAGCACAATTTTTGTTAATTATTTGCCTTCTGAAAGTTCATATTTCAGCTGTTTCATCCAAATCTGCTTGCAAAAAAAGTGCATGCACAATTGTTGTGCTTACCCATGCAAGTTAGGTATTTGTACATTCAACAGGCCTATTACACGCATAACTGGACAAGGTGTGTGTGTACAGCTCCCTGATTTGATCACGCAATCCTGGTAACTGTGTGTGCAAGTTAGGTGTGCTTTTGGATTCACCATTGTCCTTGAAAATCAGGCCCTAAACCGCTATGAAAATGGGGAGAATTTATTACATGTGAATTACAACTCTGACAAATAACTGACTGCCTTTATGTAGTTTATACATTGCTGTTGTCTCAAATGATTGACTACACTTTATAACAATGGTTTATAACCAATCTGATAGCAGTGCTTCTGTAGTCCTGAAAACATTGCGGGTCAATTGCTAAGTGACTGTGCACTTAAACCCACGACAGAACTTGCTTTTTTGGCCCAGGCAATTAACTTACACAGCAGGTTACCCCAGCAGTGGTAGATAATTTTTCTATTAAATGCAAGATTTTAGAGTAAAGTCCTTCCTGACAAACATGGAAAATGTATATTTATTTATATTGTTGTTTGTTCCATGGCATGAAGTAAATGGTTCCGTTTTTATAAAATTATATTTATATTCACCGTGTATCTGACCATTCCAGTTATACCAGTTGGTAGAATTGGCGTGTCTGAAGGACACACAAAAATAGGATTCTGATATTTGTAACTGTAACTGTAAGGGCTTTGGAAATTTCAAGTGTGTCCTCCAGATTTTTAGTCTCAAGAGTCCAGCAAGTATGTTGTAACATGTCACAATGTAAGATACTGACTTTGGGTAGGGTGGGGAAGGGCTAATGTTGCTCGCAGAGAGTGTAGTGTATAGGAATTGGGTTAGTATCCCTTTACATATTTTGTGAGCACTCTAGTGGCCCTCATTGTATTCTGTGTTTCACAAACCACCACAACCCTGCCAGCACAGCAGTGCGTATATGTAGCTAGGCCTTGCATGTTTGATATATTTAGAGAACACAGTTCCTTGGATCCCCCTGTGCCCAGGGGGTTCCTTCATGTTATGTTTATTGATAAAGAGCAAGAGACATAACAGAGAGGATAAGGGACTTGCCACTATGATAAATGGGTGACTGCTGTTAAGCTCAGTTGGTGGAGCTGTGTGTTTTGGGAACTGAAGAAACAGAGTTCTAGTTCGGGGTGAGTGGGTACTCGTGTCTGTTTAAAAAGCTTCTTCTTGGAATCTCCTGTGGTTAGTTACTCTTGTGCACATCTCTCTGTATCTAAGGACAGGTACTTTATAAATGCAGATAGGTGATAGACACTGTTTGGAGTTTCAGCCAAAGAAAATTTTATTCTTTATATACTTTATTCAGACTTTAGTAATAAAAAGATGTCCATCCAATGCTCCGGACAGATATGCAATGCTTAAAAATTACACAATAACAAACAGGATCAATGAAGAGAAAAATAAGTCTCAGGCAAAGCAGGGACTTGAATGTGGTCTTCTACATCGCAAGTGAGTGCCACAAGCCTACGCTATTTGGGAGGGGTGGAGGTGCAATTGCTGTCACTCTCTCCCCAGTGCAGAATAGGATTTTTTAATTTTTTTTGAAATCTCACAGGATGGGAAAACTGTTTCCCTCTCAGCTTTAGTCACAGTATCTCTTTGTAAGTTATCATAGTCTGAGTGTACTAACGGAGTCAGAACTGCATTCTGACAGCATCCTGTTGAATTGCCATTGCACTGAGAACACTGACGCTGATGTTATAATGAAACTATTTTTAATGTGCAGTAATTTCCCCATGTTATTGTTTACAAGGAACAACTTCAGGACAGTACTTTTCAGTGGTCTGTAGAATGCTGTTTGGAGAGCCGCAAAGCTGTTCGGCACAAGAGTGAAGCATCTATCAGTCTTTGGTAGGGACATCTGCTGCTCGCTGTAACCCAGTCCAAGTCTATTTTAGGATTTCCATAAGATTTTTTTTAATCTCACCCATCATGTTAAAGTGAGCTGATTTTCAGCTTGTTTCCTCATATTACTTT